ACCTCCATAATTGAGGTATAGTTATTTGGAGTCAGAGATTCTTAAACCAATCGTGGTTCTGCTTTTTTCACTTCACCAGACCACACTTGAGCAGATTCTTTAATGGCTCCAAAATCACAACACTTTGAACTGTTTTACTCTTGTTTTCCATTTTCCTTTACACCACTGTCCAGGTGGTACAGATTTTTCTTAAAAATCTATGTCTCAGTGTACAGAGCGTCAAGTAAAGTTCAAGCAGGGAATAGGAGATCTATCACCTTCCTTATTACAGAAATATTGCTGATATTAATGCAGACTAATGTTATATTAAGTCCTTTGACAGGTATATCAAACTATTGGATCTTATCCAGTTGGTGGTCAACCAGATAGTTATAAGTGAGATGGAGAGACAGGTCATTCTCTTCCCATAGCCCTCTCTTCCTTACCCTATTTACCCCAAAATGCTGAGGCAGGAAATAATGCATACTCCTTTGTGCACTGCTCCTCCATTTCTCATTTTTAAATGGAGACATACTCAAGGCATAATCTTCAGTCCTTTGCTCATCTCTGTACACTCATTCTCTTGCAGATCTCGGTCACCCTCATGGCATCAATCATTATGCCACAGAAAACCCATTGGTGTAGAGTGTCTGGCTTCATCTTAGTATGTGTACTTGGCACATCCATCTGGATGTTTCATCATTACCTCAAACTCTGTCCTTAATTTTTTTGTTAGAAACATCTCTTCTCTGCAAACCATGCTTTGTGTTCAGCATGCTCATCTGATATCCACTTTAAGAAGGATGTCTTCTGCCCATTATTTGATTTTTGTATGAAAAAAAAAGCTTTGTTGTAGAAATCAACATACTATTTTTTAAAATCTGGAGAGAAGATATTCTGGTGACTGAAAGTATGGTCGGGTGTCAGATATAAATGTGCAAATGCCTTCTTACTGTCCTATCGGTCTCAATACATTCACCTTACAGCTGCTGGCAATATCGAAGGTTCCTTTTTTATTTGTGTAAACTCTAATTTCTATCAAGGTGTCATGGAATTTTAAAATTAGTATTTCATTACAAATGTCTCAGCATTGGTTAATTTTTGCCAGGACCATTATTGATCAAGCAAATAAATTCAATAGCGATTAGGGGAAAAAAAAGAAGGTCATCTTTTTCCAATAAATGTATTATATAGTTAATAGTTTCATTTATATAGAGTGCATAGAGACCATTCACAGACTATCCAGCATTTTGTGTTTTTGCAATAGGGAACATTTCTTCACTGAATTCCACTCTCACATTAGATAATTTAATAGTGTTATGGAGGAAGTAAAATGCCCACCCCCCGCCAAAATTGAAAATTTCAGTTGTTGGTTTTCATTGACACACCTTATCAGGTGAAGTAATTCCCTTTTATTCCTAGTTTTCTAGGACTTTTTATCATGAATGAGCAAATGCCTGTTTCTGCATCCATTTATATAATTATATAATTTTTCTTTTGTATTCTGTCAAAATGTGGAATCACATTGATTTTTTTGCATGTTAAGCATGCCTTCCATTCCTGGCATAAACTTTCATGATCATGTTATGTCATCCGTTTTAATATATTATTGAATTCAATTTTATAACATTTTGTTAAACATTTTTGTGGCTATGTTTGTGAGGGATGCATGTCTTTAGTTTCCTTTCCTTTCATGTCATTGTTTGGTGTTAGTATATTGGACTTGTAAATTATTGGGATGTGTTTTCTTTTGCTCTTTCATTGAAAGAGTTTGTATTGAGTTGGTATTGTTTCTTCCTTAAATGTATAATAGAATTAATCAATGAAGTCATCTCACCTGCAAACCATTTGGCCTTCTCTGTGAGAAGGATTTTTAGAATTAACAAACTTAATTTCTTCCATTGATTGAGATTTCTTCTTGATTTAGTTTTGGTAATTTGAATCATTCAAGAAATGTTTCTATTTCATGTTTTTAAAATAAAAATTTTAGACAAGTTGAATTTAACAGAGTTTATTTAGCAAAGAACAATTCATGAATTGGGCAGCACTCAGAACCCAGAAAGATTCAGAGAGCTCTATCCAGCAACATGTGAAGGCAGTGTTTATAGACAAAAACAGGAAGTGATGCTCAAAACCAGTTGATTTGTTACAGCTCAGTGTTTGCCTTATATGGGCATGGTGTGATGAGGTATTTGCGTTATGGGGGACATAGTATGATCACTTGGCAGCCTGTGATTGGCTGAGACTCAGCTGTTTATTACAACACTCTTAAGTTAGGCTGTAGGTTGTTTGCATAATACAGTTATGTTAAGTTAGGTTAGTTTGCTATGTAGGAATTCAAGATATGAAGAAAGCTTTACACCAAATTTAATTTAATTTAGCAATGTAAAATTGTCAAATTTATTGTCATTTTTGTTTATTGGCATTTTCATAGTATTCTGTCATTATACTTTTAATGTCTGTATGATTTGTTGTGATGTACCCACTTCCATTCCTGATATTGGGGATTTGAGTCTTACCTCTTTTTATCGATCCATCTAGCTAGAGATTCGTGAATGTATTGAGCCTTTTTGAAAACTAGTAATTGACTTTGTTTATTTTCTTTATTGTTTGTCCATTTTATTGCATTTATTTCTGATCTTATTAATCTTGGGATTAATTTGACCTTTTTTTTCTAGCTTCTTAAGATGGGAACATAGATGGTTGATTTTAGAGTTTCCCTCCTTTCCAATTATGTAAAGTTATAAATTATTCTCTACTTACTGTATCATACTAATTTTGATATAGTGTGCTTTCATATTCATTCAGTTCAAAATATTTTCTAATTTTCCTTCTGACTCTTTTTAAATCCAGGTGCTGTTTACCAGTATGCTTTTTAATTTCTAGGTATTTGGGACTTTCAAGGTATTTTTCTGTTATTGGTTTCTAATTTAATGCTATTGTGGTCCGAGAATGTATTCTGTATGATTTCAAGATACATTTATTTATTTATTTAGACATTTATTTATATGTGTTTATGACCCAGGGTATAGTCTGTCCTGTAGAATATTCTTGAGCATTTGAAAATAATGTGTATTCTGCCACTATTGGGTGGAGTATTCTATAGATCTTGATTAGATCACATTGGTTCATTGATAATGTTATTTACATCTTCCATGTCCCATTGAGTTTTTTCCTAAATATGTTATTGATTACTGAGGGCTAGAATACTAAAATATAATTGTGAATTTGTATATTTTTGATTTATTTTTATCATTTTTGGCATAATGCGATTTAAGACATATTTTCTAAAAACATACACATTTAGGATTGTTATATGTTGGTAATAAAATGATCCTTTTATCATTATGAACTATCCTTCTTTCTCCTTGATAATATTTCTTATTCTGAGTTCTATATTTCTGATATTAATACAGCCACCAACATTTCCATGGTTGGCATTATTTTCCTTTTTTTTTTTTTTTTACTTTAAGTTCTGGGATACATGTACAGAATGTGCAGGTTTGTTACATAAGTATACATGTGCCATGTAGTTTGCTGCACCTATCAACCCATCATCTAGGTTTTAAGTCATGCATACATTCAGTACATGTCCTAATGCTCTCCCTCCCCTTACTCCCCATCCCCTGACAGGCCCTGGTGTGTGGTGTTCCACTCCCTGTGTCCATGTGTTCTCACTGTTCAGCTCCCACTTGTGAGTAAGAATGTGTGGTGTTTGGTTTTCTGTTCCTGTGTTAGTTTGCTGTGAACGATGGCTTCCAGCTTCATCCATGTCCCCGTAAACAACATGAACTCATTTTTTATGGCTGCATAGTATTCCATGATATATACGTATTTTCCCATTCTTTTACTTTTTACCTGTCTTTGCCTTCATATTTAAAGAGGGCATTATGTAGAGAGCATAACGTTGGCCTGTACTTTTTTCTGTGCATTCTGACAATCTTTGCCTTTTCATTGAGTGGTTAGGCCATGTGCATTTAATTCAATTATTAGTATGGTTGTTTTAAACTGTACCATCTTACAGATTGTTTTCTCTTTGTCTTCTCAGACTTTCCCTTTTTTATTTCTTTATTTTGAATTAATTATGTTTAGTGTTCTATTTTATCTTCTCCATTGGCCTTTTAGCTATACCTCTTTTTTTTCAGTAGTTGTCAGGAGTTTTAAATATTCATCTTAACACATTCTACCTTCAACTAATAACATACCACTTCACATGTATAAGAAACTTACAACATTATACTTCCATTTCTCCCTTCTATTCTTTGTGCCATGGTCATCATATTTTACTGCTGGGTATGTTATAAATCCCCAAATAATTTTCACTTTAAACAATTCCTTTTTTAACTTAAAAATAAAAAAAAACTAGAAAACATGTTATTATATTTATCTGTATTTTTACCATCTCATGCTTTTTTCATCTTAATATCTAATGAACACTCATAAAGAAACAAAATCGTTGCTCAAATAAGATATTTTTCTTCACAATCACCACTGTTCTCAAATCTTTGAAAGCTCTGGTAATAATGATTTTGGTTCTACCACATGGAGTGATTATAGTTGCTAAAAACTGCAATGAATGAGGGCATTTTTAAAATTTTATTTCTTGGCTCTTAGTTTATCATGTAGAAGAATCCTCCATGAGATATTGCTGTAATTACAATCCAGCCTTGGGAAGGGAGCTCAGGGGCTGTGAATGAAATCCTAATCTGCCTGAAATCTTGATCGAGACAGACTTAATCTCTTCCCTCAGAGACTTCAAACACTGCAGTCTTCAAACTGCATCCAAGAAAATCTTTATCCAAGTAAAATTTCCCCCCGATATCCTTCCTCTACTCCACCCTATCCTGTAGTTAGGGAAGAACCCAGGGCTGAATCACTATCCTCAGACCTTTCCATTCAGGTGGGATCAGAACCTTTAGTAACTTCATCTGCAACAGAGGTTGAAACCACACCTTCAAGAAATAGTGTTCACATGTGACCTGATCCTAGACTTCCAGTAAGAATGACTCAGAGTCTCCCAGTTCTGAAATACTGAAGTGTTTATTGGTCTTAGGGTATTCTCCGGAAGGTGAAAGTGGAGGGGTTCTTCAAAGGAGACCAGAGGATAAAAGACTCAATGAAGGGATAATCTCCATATCAGTGCTACCAAAGTGTCAACATTTATTCATTAACTTCTATTTGTTGGAAACTTTACTAAGGAATGACTGCTTTAAAGTAATGGATAAGGACAGAGCTTGAAGGGTCAGCAATTCAGTCAGCCACTGGAGTAGTTTTCATATGAAGTGAGAAGAAAACCTGAGATGGAGTTTGTAGGGCAGCTGGAGTTCAGATCTCTCTTAAGTCCTCTTCTTTTCAGATATTTTGTCACCTGCAGCAACACACACAGTTACTGTCATTCCTGGGTTCAGTACTGTAAGCCCAGAGCCATCTTCCCCACTCCCTTTGCACCCAAGCTTCCCATTTCTCTGCCCTATTCAGGTCCCAGGGAGAAGGTGGTCATCCCTGCACATGCCCTGGTCCTCCAGGTGAACAGCACACAGGAGCCAAGGAGTTCACTAAAGTCATTGAATTTCACCCTCAAACCCCAGCTGACTTTGAGGGCATCCCACATGCTTCATGTCTCCAAAATATCCTGACAAGGGGAAGGGTCACATTACTGAGGGCAGAGAAGAAGCTTAACCCTGAAATAAGAATTGGAAGGGACAAATATCCAAACCATATAAATGATGGCAATGAAGGAAGGATACTTACTCATATTGTGTAAACTGCTCTTTGAAAGGATTTCAAAACCAAGGTAAACTTTCTAAAATGACCTCTGTTGAACATCTGACAGCAGTACTTCCTCCTTCCTGGAATTCTTTAATTCCTTGGCTTATGTGACAACATATTCTCCCAATTCTTCTGCCTCTCTGCTTCTTCTCCATTTTCGTTAAATATTCCTCTTTTGATATTTTGTTAATCATGTATCTTTGCATTAATTTTGCTCTTTCAAGATATTTCATTAAAATATGATTTATTACTGAGTTCTTTTGGTATCCCCCAAATTTTGCACCTAAGTCAAGTGCATCCCTTACATGACCCTAGTCCCAGCCCTCCTTTCCATTCTTCCTCTTAACATCTGACCTTCTACATTCACTTCATTCTGTTACAAATCATTATATATATAATTATAAATGTGTGTGAACAAAGAAAAATAAAGAAGAATTTGTCCTACTGGATACTAACACACACTACAATGTAATAGTAATCAAAACATTAGGACACTGGCACAAGAAGAGACAAACAGAACAGTGGAACAAGATGGAACTCAGACACAGGCCCATCTGTAAGGGGAGCTTTCAGTATAGCAAAGGAGACACCACAAACATATGGGGAAAAGGTGAACTATTTAGTAGTTGTGAGAACACATTTGCCCATTATATAGAGAAAAATAAAACATGATCCCCATCAAACACAAAGATGAATCCCAGATGAATTAAAGTAGTACATGTGAAATTTAAAACTGTAGGAGATGTTTTAAAAATATCTTTGATATCTCAGTATACGGAAGACTTCTTTTAAAAAAGACACACACAAAAAAATACAGTTGATGGACTTCATTACAAAATATTAAGGATTTCTCTTCAATAAAGGAAACCAAGGAGAAAGTTGCCAGAAGTCAGATTAGGGGAAAACATTTGCTGACAAGGGACTAAAAACTAAACTGGGCACAAATTAAAACTGACAAGTGACTACTAGCAGGACTATATAAGAATCACCTGCAAATCAATAAGAAAATGATAGAAGCACATAGTACAAAAATGGTCAATGAATGTGAACAGGCAATTTATAGAAAAGGAACTCCCAAGTGCCTAATCAGTCCTAATTATAGCCCCAATTATTAGTAATTAAAGAAATGCAAAATATAACAGCATATTTCTTTATGCACATGAAATTGGCAAAAGTTAGAAAACTGAATAATGTCCAGTATTGAAGTGCATTTAGGAGTTGCAGGACATTTCAGGTATTGACTAAGGAAGTACAGATGAGTACAGCCATTCTGATAATAAGATGAGCAGTATTTAATCAAATTAAGGATCTGCACCTCCAGCGACCCTGCAACCCCTTTCTAGGATACACATACATTCCAGGGATGCAGGTCAGGCCCACAAGCATATGTAGTTTCATGTGAGATACAAGCATTGCTTGCAATAGTAGAGAACCAGGGATAATCTAGGTATCCCAGGAGCAATATAGATATGTGGATTAATATGATTTGGATATTTGTCCCTTCCAAGTCTCATGTTGAAAACTGATCCCCAGTGTTGCAGATGGGGCCTGAATCATGGAGGAGACTCCCTCATGAATGGCTTGGTGCCCTCTCCAGGGTAATGAGTGAGTTCTCACTCTATTAGTGCACATGAAACCTGGTTGTTAAAAAGAGCCTGGCACCTCTTTCTCTCTCTCTTTCTCCCTCTATGACCATGTGATGCACCGGCTCCCCTTGCCTTCCACCATAAGTAAAAGCTTCCAGAATCCCCCCAGAATCCCCTAATAGAAGCAGATGCCGGTGCCATGTTTCATGTAGAGCCTGTGGATCTGTAAGCCAATTAAAGCTCTTTTCTTCGTAAATTAGGTAACTTCATATATTCCTTTATAGCAATGCAAAATAGAATAATGCATGGACATATAGAGTAAAATATTATGGGAGATTTGGAAAAAACAAACTGGATGTACAAAATTAGCAAACTGGATGTACAACATTAGATCTATAATTTAATGCCATTTTGGTTCATTAAAAAATACATGTACACTGGACATTACTACATATTATAGAGGATCTATGCAAATAAAAGGAAACATCAAATTCATTAAAATGTTTACCTATGAGGTAGGGGTAAGAGGTTAGATATGGGAGTAAGGACTGGAGATAAAAGGGACCAACTAAATCAAGAGAGAGAGAGCTCGGAGGCACCAATGATGACAGTATAATGAACTGAGAAGTTCTTAGCCTTTTGTACCTGAGGTCTAACATGAATAACAATAATAATAATGAATTAGATGTGGTCATCTGCAGGGAAGTTCACTGTCTTATGCTAAGAGAATTTCCAAAACATATAAAAATATAAAACATGGTGAGTGTTATGATAAATAGAAACCCATAAGATCTCAGGAGGGGCATTATTTGTTTGAGCATTGCCATGGAATGAGTGCAAGTAGAGACAGTAAATAGTTACAGGCACCCATCACACTGTGTTGTAATTATGTATAGAAATATAGATCTGGCTCCATCATTAGACAATGGACTCTTGGAGAATTTGAACTTGGTCATTTCCTTCACAAAATAGGGTGTATAGGACAGTGGATAAACAGTCTTGGATCCAGACTTTCTGGACTGGAAGCTAGCCCTACTACTTCATAGCTGTGGGAACTTGATCAAGGTACTTAAGGTTTCTGTGTATGTAAAAAGATGTAAGTATCTCTCATGTGAAATGGTAAAAATAATAGTACCTACTTCAGAGATTCTTTGTGAGAATAAAGTGAGTTAATAAATGTAAATGCTTAGAATAGCGCCTGAGCATATTAACTTCTCAGTTAGTTATCAGTCTTGTTGTTGTTATGTGGCTGAATGCTTTTAACCCATTAGAAGATCAATGAACAATTATCGGATTGAATTTTTCCTCCCTTCCTTACATTCTACAAATCCTAGAGCCTTCTCTTTACATTCCCACCTTTACAGTACTTCACAGGGGCCCCTGGGCCCGGGGGTCACGGCCAGATCGCAGAGACTTTATGATGAGGACGGTGCCCACGATGATGCCCACTAGGCCCAGCACCAGGCCCAGGGCACAGAGCACAGTCTCCGTTGTCTCAGGCATCTGGATTGGCTCTTGGGCCTCTGGGGGAAGAATGAAGAGATAGGGTCAGGAGGTGCAGTGAGGGTGGTTCTGGTGTGGGATGGGTGTGGGAATTGAAGGTTATGGACCAGTTAATTGGATGTTAGGACGGGGAGAGGACTGAGACCTGGTCAGTGGGGAAAGCTGGCGCTGAGGACACCAGGTCCTTGGAATAGAGGATGCCAGGAGATTATGGAGAGAAAAGGAGCTACATACCCCAGTGCTTGAGAAGCGGCTGGTCCAAGCCCCAGTGCTCCACCCTGCAGTCATAGTAGTCCTCGGCTGAGGGCACAAAGGTCAGGTAGTGGAACTTGTGGAAGCTGTAGTCTGTTCTGGGCAGGAAGAGGCTCTCAGCGACACCCTCAGTGACCGGCTGCCCGTTGCACAGCCACGTGACGTTGAGCACTGGAGGGAAGAACTTGTCAATGTGGCAGATGAGGGTGTTGGGCTGTCCCAGCTCCACAGGCTCCTTGGGAAACACGGTCACCTCAGGGGGATCTGGGAGGAGAGAGTACCAGGTTAGGCCCCTCTTCTGAGATGAATCACAAAGGCTCCACCTCTTGTGGGGGAGGAGGGTGGTCGTCTACCTCAGCCTTAGATTTTATGGCAGCTCTGAATCACAGAGAGGGGTATCACAATACTGACCAGCCTCACTCTGCTCACCTTTCTCTCTCCTGAGAAGAGAGGATGCAAGTCCTTGCTGTAGTGGGATCAGCCCATGGCCACTAGGGGAAGAGGATCACACAGCAGGGGGCACTTAGGCTTCCTAGTCTAAGGGTGGCAGAGAGGCCCTCTCATTCCTTCCAGTTGGGCTACAGAGGAAGAGGCAAAGATAGGCAATACCATTGGCGGCCTGAGTGTAGTTGGAACGCTGGATCGTGATATTCAAGTTGTTGTTCAATATAGCAATGTTAGCCAGCCCGCCCTGAGCCTCAAAGGAAAAGGCTCGGCCAAACTCCTCCAGATGCCAGACGGTCTCCTTCTTGTCCAGATCCACATAGAACATCTCATCCTCATCAAACTCAAACATATACTCCCCTGTTGGTCTATGTGTCTGTACAAACATGGCATAAGTTGATACATGGTCCGCTGCATAAAGAAAGTAGAGAAAAACATGACAAAATGTCAATTTGAATATGCAAGTGGTGAAAGCTAGAGAATGAATAAAGACTTATGAATATAAAAAGGAAGAAGGTAAGAGGGCAAAGGCAGGACATATGGGGAAGACAGACCAACACCATTAAGGAAATAATACAGAGCAGTTGAGTAGTTATAAAAAGAAAGGAGCGAAGAACAGAATGAAGTTTATCATTGATAAGTTAAGCTGCTTCCTGGTCTTTGAAAGTCTGGGCATCCTGACCCTACAAAATAGCAATAGTAACAATGACAGCTAACATTTGTTGAGCACTTACTTGCGCCAGGCATCCTTCTAAATACTTTACATATTTCACTCGTTGAATTATCACAATAACCCTATGAAGCAAATACATAGCAAACTATTTTACAGGTAAGGAAATGCAGAGAAGTTATATATTAATAACTGGCCAAGGTCATACAGCTACTGGTGGAACTAGTAGATTTTTTTCTACCCTTAAGGTCTTAATTCTTCTAAGACACAGATGTAAAATTGTTTTTCGAGTCATGGGGTGGGAAAGTGGACATTTTATTTTTCTTATTGCAGAAAGAGAGAAAAAATAGAAAATTGGGAGGACAAAGAAAATATCCTTCAAATTTTAGTGTTCTTGACAGTTTTAAAGTTTCCGTCTTAGTTTATGAACATGAAACTAGAATGTACAGCTTTGTTGATAATATTTTTCACTTGGAGCATATAAATTCAAAAGTACAGTACAGTTATTTTGGCATTTGTTCCAAACTTTTTGTTTCCTTTTAAGAAATATTTTAACATTTATTTTATGTTCAGGGAGGGGTACATGTGCAGGTTTGTCGTACAGGTAAAGTCATGACTCAGGGGTTTAGTGTGCAGATTATTTCATTACCCAGGTACTAACCATTCTAAACTTTTCTCACATTTATATTTTGATTTTTGTTTTAGAGGCCAACTAGAAATTATTGCTGAGTTGGAAATACCTGTAGGATTTAATTTATTTTGTTTCTTAATCTGTATTAGTTTGCAAGAAGTAGCAAAGATAAGAGGATAAATGCAATTATCATCATGAAAGAAAACAATGAATGTATATGTGAAAGTCTGGGTTTAGAATGATAAATGCATGAGAGCGAGAAGGTACTACAGGGCTCATTGGCTCTCACCTCCCAACTCACGAATTTCCCTGTGAGTTTGCAGCCCTGACATGTGGGGACCCAGTCTGTGCTTGGCCACTTACAGTGACAGGGAGAATGATTCTGAGTCTCAGAGGAAAAGGCTCAGCCAAACTCCTCCAGACGGTCTCCTCCTTGTCCAGATCCACACAGAACATCTCATCCTCATCAAACTCAAAAATAAACTCCCTTGTTGGTCTATGTCTCTGTACATGTATGTACAATGACTCTCTGTCACTGTAATTGTAAGTGTCTGGAGGATAGGGTCTGTGTCTTATTTTGCACTGAGAATGACTCCCTGTCACTGTAAGTGGCCAAGCAGAGAGTGGTATTTCAAACTAAACAAATTAAATTAAATCCTATAGGTATTTCACAAGGAAACTTAGCTTCCTTCTCAGTTTAAAGGACTCAAAGGATTCATCAGGAAAAAGAGGGTAAACTAAAAAGACACAACGTCCTCTAGCAATTATTGGGAACTCATCTTCCTAATACGTGAATGTTCCTTATAGTTTTAAAAATGGTTTTTAAAAAACACTTTCACAAGTTCTGCAGTCTAAAGATCAACCAGATATTAAACCAATTATTTTACTTCAAAATATCATTTCCATTTAGACAAAAATGTGTATTAAAAGACTACTATACGTCAAACACTGTTAGATGCTAAATATTCAAATAAAAATAACACATAGGTCCTGTTCTGCAGACGCGTACAATTCACAGAAGGAAACACAAGAGACAAGACAATAGCATGTTCAGAATAGTAAGTGCAGATACGTGGGTATACACAAGATGTGATCAAACAGCACATCAGGGAAGGCTTCCTGGGGAACAGATAGCTTCAATGTAGACATTCAGAAAACAGGGCAAAAGCCACTTCTCACAGGGAAGACAGCCTGACCGGGAGAAGATATTGAGTTTACTGTGGGGCTATTGCAGTAGACGATCTGGAAGTCATCTAAGGAGAAATAATACATAGACATTTGTGGATGATGGGTGGTCTCAGGAGAGGAGTTTAGGCCAAAGAATTGAGAGTCATCAGAGGCAGGTGCAGGTTAGATGAGATTTTCCAGGAAGAGTGCCAAAAGTCAGAATTGCAGAGCTCTCAGGGTATAATGAGAGAATATGATAATTAAGAGGTGATTTAAAGGATGATAAGGAGGATCCAGGGAAACAGGAGAAAAATAAGGACAGGGTAGTTCATCAGAAATAAGTGGATTACAGTGCAAATATTATCAGTAACTCAAGTCGGAGGCACTGAGAAGAACCCACTGGATTTGACCTTCTGCAGAGGTTCCTGATGGCCAAGATAAGAGGGTCCTAAGGGATGTACCGGAGGCAAGTCAGAAGCTTAGCTCCAAGTGTGAGGACACAAAGGAAGTGTCTCTAGGGTAGGATGCAGACTGAAGTCACGGTTGTTTTTTATCAGTTGGTTTGCACTTATGTTTTTAAGGTAAAGGACATGTTTAAATGTTAAGAGACAAGGAACCACTGGGGGCAGGGAAGCCCTGAAGAGACAGCTGAGCTAATTAGGAATTTCTAGGAAGAATCCTAAAAAGTATTCAAATCTATGAAGAGATGCCCATTGTGGTGTTTATTGTAACATAACATTAGAAATAACCCAGGTGACCATGAACAGGGCAGTAGATATTTCTGGTCTCCACAGCCTCACCTCCTGTTTATTCCACACATCTTAAATAAAACTGTCTGAGGCCAGTGTGCATCTTGTATGTTATGGATTCTAACCTTCCCCATCACTAGGTTTTGGGATGGCAGCATCATACACAGGCTTGATGTCATTCTCCCTGATGTCAGCTACAGGAAGAAAGAGCATTCACCACGACCCATCTCTGGCTGAGTCCTTGCAGCTATCCAAAGCCTAGGCCCGCCTTGCAGTCCCGGATCTCTCAGAACCCGAATCACAAGGCTGTCAAGACCATGCAATAGTGCTGTCTTAAGAGAGGAAAGCTTGTGACCACCCACAAAGACCCAGGAAGGGCCCTAGGGTCCTAGGAGAGAGGGAGGATGGGAGGATACAGGAAAACTCAGCACTTTCTCTCCTAATGCAGAGCCCATAGCTCGGAGTTCCTGTGAAGCAGCCACAAAAGACAGAGGCTGGGGATCCCAGAGAGATGGGAAGGGTGTTGGGGGGCCCTGGTAGAAGTTCACTGTGTGCAAGAATCTGGGGAAGGCAGTGTATGACCCTCAGAGCTGGGTCTGGACTTCAAACTTGGTTCATTGATCTGCTGTGTAACCTTGGAAAACGTATTCATCTTTTTGAGCTTCAGTTTTTTCAAAATAATTTCTAAATAAACGGAATGATTTCTAAATGAAGGGAATAATATCTTCATTGAAGTTTCCTGTGAGACGTAAATGGGGAAAGAAACTATGCAGGCGTGTCGTAAATTCTGGCTGCTATTGCTGCTGTTATTATGAGGGCCAGAGGGAACATAGACTATCATGAGGGCCGGACAGATCAATGAGCCCCTAAAATCTCTGATTCCTGAAGCAACAATTGATGTGAGCCTCCCCACCACTCACCCCGACGCTCTTGTGTCCTCCTGAGCACTCACCCTTGATGGCCCCAGCTCCTCCGAGACTCAGCAGGAAAGCCAAGGAGAGGGTACTCAAGATCACAGCTCTGGTCTGGAACATTCTGTCTTCAGGGCGCATGTTATAGGGTCTATAATTGATGACCGCGAGCACAGGAACAGCAATGAGGAACTGAGGCTGGGTGGAGGCAGATGAGACTCTGAAACTGTGGGCTTCTAGCACTGGAAATGGTCAAAATGGGTGGAGAGGAGTCAGCATGGCTGGGCTTCACCAATCAGAGAAATCATAGAGCTGACATTCTCTGTTGCTGGGTAAAGAGAATGCTGGAAGGTGCTGGGGAAGAGATGGGAGAATTTTAGGTACCAGCGTGGTCAAGAGAGCTCCAGTTCACAGTTCGTTTTCAGAGTTAGAGAAAGAGACGTGGAAAGATAAGTCACACCTTCTTCTGATGGCAAATGTTTTCCATTATGTTCCTTCTCCCCACCCCCACCCCCATCCCAGGCAGTCAGATGATCTTTGATGGTTTTTGGTCACTATATTTTAAAGCATGTTTTATGTTACGTTGTCAAGTTTACAAAAATATTCTGCTGATAATTAAGAATGAATGCTCTATCTAATAAAATATGTAATTAATCTTTCTTTCAGGTCCACCTCCCTGAGATATCTCCTTTTAATTTAATCATTTCCGCAGAAGTGTTATAATTTCTATTTAGTGGTTTTAATTAACTCGAATGAAGTTGATCTTTAAGTATTTATCTATTCCTGGTTACCTTTGTTAGTGAAATTTCTAGATAACTTTTATTATTCAGATATCTTAGTATTTGACTTTTCCTGGTGTTTAAACAGGTATTTATCTTTAAATTACTAGTCATGTTATTTCATTTTCATATAAGAATACCCAGGACAGCATTACCTATGGTAACAATGTACACCCATATTTTGATCTTGTTTTTGAGAAGGGTTTCTCTAATGCTTTTCTGTTATAGGTAATGTTCATTTTTTTTTATCTTATATTGTCTTTACCATATTTAAGAAAATACTTTTCTAGTCTCATTTTAAATATTTCAATTTTGAGCTATTTCTTCGACGCTCATAGAGAAGATCACAAAACATTTACTATTTAATGTAATGATGAAGTACATAAATTATATTAATATTCTATCTTATTTGTGGTAGCCTTACCTTGCATAAATAACAATTACTAACAGATTAGCACATGAGAGATGCTGTTATTAGTGCTTTGCACGCATTACCTCATTTAAACCTCACATTACACCTGAGGGAGGTGTTATTAATGTCTACTGTAAAAATAAATTACCTGAGACATCATCGAGGAATTAAGTATCTGTCTAATTATGGCAGATAAATGACAAGGAGAAGAGTCCCATCCAGGCAATTACTAAAAACCTGAGCTTTTCTCCACAATCCTTTCCTGGCCCCTCAATCTTACTGGACACCTTCTATTACATAATTATTTTCTTCTCTTGCATTTTACATGCTAGCCTTCTATTTACATTTTAATATTGATTTAAAGAAATTATGCCAATTTGATTCTTTTTTGAAATTAGAATTGGTGGTCCAACAGGATCACATTTACAAGTGTCTAAAGTAAGAAGTAATGTTCTTTGTACGTTTGTAAAAATATTCACTATAAACAAAATAGAATCAGATGCTTTGAAGGAGGTGGGGTCTTTGATGATTCTTTTTTCACTTTCTTCCTTATTTGCTAGTCAATTTATATTCTCTATGGGCTTTATTTTTCCAAAGCAATTTCAGACCTATCAATCTCATTTGATCTTAAGAGCTTTGCTATAAGGCAGGTTCTATCATCTCCATATTGAAGACAAGGAATCGAAGTCCAAAAGAGGTGGTGTCCTTAAAGCTGCATACTTACATGGTAGGGTGAGTGGTGTGTTCATGCTTCTGGTGTTAGGTCCCTAGACTGAGCCCTGCTAACCCTGATGAGAGTCCTGTGGAAGAACCTGGTATCTCCTGCACGTTGCAGGACTCACAGACCTCTGGGAGAAAGTAAATATGAATGGGTGCTAATCTTAAACACACCCTTGGACAAAGACAAGACAGACAGACTCCAGGCCTCATTTGAGTTCTGGGATGGGTACTCTAATCCCTCTAAACCATACCACTGACTGACCTTTTACACACTGAGATAGCATTTCTTCCACACCAGACCATGTCCTGTGAGTGTGTGAGGTGTGGCAGAATTGGGGAAATGATAATCCCCGTAGATGGCCAGCAGAATATTTGAGATCACTGTCAGAGCAAAGAAAACACATCATCTCCCCCAACCTCATGACTTACTTGACTGCTTAAAATGGGTGTCACCGTCCTCCATCTGTCATCTTAACTGCATCACAGGTTTTATATTTTCAGACCTTTCACACTAACCGTCTGCCCGGTGAGTGATGACTCATACAAAGCTCAGTGCCCATTGGTTCTTTTCTCAGACTCTGTCCAATCCCAGGGTCACAGAAGACTACTTGGGTTCATGGTCTCTAATATTTCAGACAAGAGCTCCCTTTAGTGAGTCCTTCTTTTCCTGACTGCAGCTCTTTTCATTTTGCCATCCTTTTCCAGCTCCATGATGGTTCTGCAGGTTTCTGGGACCCCCCAGACAGTGGGTCTGATGGCGTTACTGATGGTGCTGCTCACATCTGTGGTCCAGGGCAGGGCCACTCCAGGTAAGAGCAGAGCTGCCATTCCTGGAGGGTCTGGTTCAGGGAACAATTCCTAGGGGACTTTATCTTTAAGGGATCAAATTCTGAGACAGGCTGCGGGGGCTCCCGCCCTAAGGCAGTGTCCTCCCTTCCCAGCTAGAGAAAGAGGTTCGTCCCCTATAGGATAGCTTGTTATCCTACAGGGCTATTCTCTCTCCAAGGACATGGATACAGCAAACAGAGAGAGGTGCCCAGTGGTCAGTATGCTTGTCTTTGGGAAAATGGGGCCAAGAGATCCAGGATAAACTTGATGGACAATGTTTACAGAGAGAGAAGGTGGCAAGTGCAGGCTCCTGGGCATGCTCACATCTGCATCCAGCCTGGAGGGGACTCAGGCAGAGAGCCCTAAGCTGGAGTGTCCAGGCTCTGAGGATCACTGAGGATTACGTGCGCATGAAGAATGCCTCTCATTCCCCAAGGTTGAGCAGGAGCCCACACCCTTTGGACATTGAAGGCAAGATGGGAGGGAGGGTTGCGGACAGGTTCTAGCCCCTGAAGGCATTCTCATTAAAGGTACTTCTCCCAGCCTCCCCGGAACTTGGTGAGCGTACTAGAGTGGGTTGAGACTTGTAGGAAGAATGAGATGAGGTTGTGTGGGTGCGTAACAGGGATTGAGTGCAGGTTATCAGACAGCCGAGAAAGCAGTAACCAAGTGAAAAATATCTTCTTCCTGCTGCCTCCCTGTGGCTGGTGTAATATTATGGCATCTATGATCCATTGTTTTTCTCTCAGGATACTCTCAGGATATTTCTAGTCCAAATTTACACCAACACTCTGAGAGGAAGGACTGTAAAGTAGGTGCCTTAGTTTTCCACTGACTTCCACCTTTCCTGCTTACACCCTTCCTCCTAGACCCCTTCACACCCCTCCTAGGACACACCTAGACGGTACTGACATCATGTCACCTCCTTATCTTTCAGGGTAGCAAGGTTGGAATCTCCTGAATACAGCCCCTCAAACCCTAAAACCTCTTATCTATTACCTTGGATTCATTGTCCGGGAAGGGGAGGAGAACTTGAACTTGTAGTCACAGAGGGGTGCTGAGAACTAACCAGTAGGACGGCTCAGCCCTGGGAACTGCAGAGGGGTGAGGCTGGGGAGAGAGGAGGTTGGAGCAGCGCTGGTGACACTGAACAGTGTCCAGCAGAAGGTGAGGGGACGCAGCGCCCCCATCCCATAGGCAGAGCTGTCATGTGGGATGAGGGATAGTGTTGGGAGCCACCAAGGTAACCCAGAGGTGGGAGAGCAGAAGGGGGCATGTGACGCTGGGCAGTGGACAGGAGGAGGGGCAAAGGCTAGGTTGAGGTTTGTAGGGGGAATGAGATGAGGCAGTAGAGCCATGTGACAGGGACTGAGGGTGTGTTACTGCAGCTCCCTGCGTAGAATGAATGTTCAATCAAAACCTGCTAGAGGGAGAGCTGGAGCCATAGGGGAGTAGGTAGAGAGGGCAGGGCCGATTCCACAATTCCCCGTATGCTCTTACAACTCCACACACATCCCAAACTTCAAACAGGGCACAAGAGAAAAAGGCTGAGGAGCCAGGCTGTGGCTTAAAGAGGCTGAGGGAGGAAAGCTTGGCTGAGACAATCCATAGGGAGCTAGAGGTTTTTACTATCTTCTGTTCTGAGTGAGAGATGAATTCATTCAGATCCGTGGTTTCAAACTGTGCTCTGGGCAACTCAATTGTTAAGAAACAGAGTAAAGTTTCTTATATACAAAAAAAAAAAAAAAAAAAAAAAAAAACCATGAAGATTTCAAATTATACCACAAAACCCCTCATTGCTTATATCTACTTGGCAGGTAAAATTCCATTTCAAAAGTTAAATGTATTTTAAAAATTACCTAAGACTGGGTAAATAAAAAAGGAATTAAATGCTGCAAAGAAAAAATTCAAAATTCTTATTCTTGAGTGAAAAAATATTCTTTTACTGGTGATTGAAGAGGAGAAACAAAGACTAACAAAAGAAAATGGGAGAATCCACACTCAGAGCAGGGCAACTGAACAGGGAGGGGCGGGTGGATGGCAGAGGAGGAGGAATTTGGTCTCAAGGAGCTGGGGGGCGCTGGGCCTGGAAGTTTATGGGGCTGGGGCCCAAGGCACCAGGAGAAGAGGCAGGTCAGGATATCTGAGTCAAGGCCTGGGATCTTGCCTTAGCAATGACACTGGAGACTAAAGGTGGACTCTATGGTGCCCCTGAACCTAGCCCCACTCCATCTCCACTGTCCTCTGCAACTAGCTATGCAGCTTTTGTGAGGGTTGATGTTAATAAACTGGAGAAGTTAATTTGTGGAGCATGAAACAGATGAGCAGAACAATCACAGTACCTTAATTTCGCCAATGTGCCCAAGAACAGAGCAGGCCTGAAGAGACTCAAACAGAAACAAACATGTGCCACGTCACTAATACTTCTGTGTAGACACACACCTGCCAGACACTGCTCACTGGCCTCCCTAGGAACAACAGCATGTGGGAAAGGCTGCCAAAGTTCTTTATGTACAAATTACATCAATGCTGTCTTCCTTGGCGCTGCCTATGGAGCTGGCAGCCATCTCTTCCTCCTCATCGTGGCCTCCCTCAGACTCCTCATGCAGCCCAAGATCCTCAAAAAGAGGACCAACAAGTTCATGCGGCACCACTCAGACTGAAATCTCAAAATTAAGTGTAACTGGCGGAAACCCAGAGGTCTTGACAACAGGGTTCTTAGAAGGTTCAAGGGTCAGATCTTGATGCCCAGATCTTGCTTATGGGAGCAACAACAACAAAAAACACATGCTGCCCAGTGGCTTCCAGAAGTTTCTGGTCCACAACATCAAGGAGCTGAAAGTGCTGCTGATGTGCCACAAATCTTACTGTGTTGAGATGGCTCACAGTTTCCTCCAAGAACTGCAAAGCCATTGTGGAAAGAGTCACCCAGCCGGCCGTCAGTCACCAACTGCAATGACAGGGTGCACAGCAAAGAAAATGAGAGAAAGTTCACGTGCACGTTTTGTGTTTAAATAAAACCATAAAAACTGTCCAAAAAAATTAGATCAATTCCTCTAAACCCAAAGGACTCCACCCCAACAGGTCCCTGGTTGTTGTGGTGATTTTCATTGTTTAAAATATTTTCCACATCTTTTCACACCGTTTTTCTGCAGCCATGTTTGAAAATTAACTTTCAGGCTACAGAGTCTTTCTTATACTAAAGTTGAAGAAAGTTTTAAGAAATATATTTCTACATTTCCTAAATGCAAAACAACAGGAGCAGGTTGAGGAATTCTCAAGAAACTGGTAGAGAAGAGAGCGCCTAGCTATGGAAAAGAGAAAGAAGGGAGGGAGGGCTTCCTGGAGGAGGTGACATTTGAACCAGGACTAATATCAGGATGGAAATGTCAGGCAGGGAGTTGAGTAGGGGGAGCAGCTCCGCCCTCCACGTCCCCAGCTCCTCCCGCCCCTGTTTTTTCTCCCAGCGACCCCACGTGAAACGTCTCCCCCTCCTCCTCCAGCCGCCAGCAGAAGGGACTGCCTTCCCCTCAGTGTTCGCCCCTCCCTAGTGATCACTCAGTCCCCCTGAGCAGTGAATCTCACTCTTTTCAGTAAATTCTCTCTCTGCGTGGTGAGAAAACAGGCCTGGAGAGGCTCAGCGACCTGCCTAGGACCACGGAACTCGGTACTAGGAAAACTCCTATTTTAAAATCCAGTCCTAAGTGGGAAGATTTGGGAAGAATCGTTAAAATTGAGAGAAGGGGGGAGAAAGGGGATTAGGTGAGAGTGGCGCCCCCGCTCATGTCCGCCCCCTTCCCGCAGAGAATTACCTGTACCACGTACGGCAGGAATGCTACGCGTTTAATGGGACACAGCGCTTCCTGGAGAGATATATCTACAACCGGGAGGAGCACGTGCGCTTCGACAGCGACGTGGGGGAGTACCGGGCGGTGACGGAGCTGGGGCGGCCTGCTGCGGAATACTGGAACAGCCAGAAGGACATCCTGGAGGAGAGGCGGGCAGCGGTGGACACGTTGTGCAGACACAACTACGAGCTGGACGAGGCCGTGACCCTGCAGCGCCGAGGTGAGTGAGGGCTTTGGGCAGGGGTTCCCAGGGCAGCCACGGGGGCCCGAGCCCAGGGCGCAGAAGCAGCCAGGCCGGCCTAAGGGACTTTAGTGCCAGGCAGAAAGGGGACTTTGGGCTGGGGATTCATGGGTGAGCCCATCTGGAGCTTGTCAGGGGAGCGAGCGTGCGGACCTGAACTGGGCTGAGCGTGGAGTGAGGAGGATGGGAGCAGAGAGACCCCCTGGACTTCATCAGGCCTGGCAGCTGACTGCATGTGGGGTGAGGGGAAAGGAGGCCACAGGAGAGCGTGCAGGGGTGTGGTGTGGAGATGGAGGTGGAGATGGCACAGCAGGCCACGCAGAGAAGAAACCTGCAGGGAGACGGCTGGGTTTGAGGTTCCTGAGGGGCCAGATGGATGGTCTGATGGTCAGGTAGACAGAAGAGTCTGCAGCCAGGGAGGAGACTGGGCTACATGAGACCACCCAGGGAGAGGGGACCCCGGGGAAGAGCTGGATCCTGGGAACTGGACAGTTGTGATTTGGCCAAGACAGAAAAGTCTGTGAAAGAGACAAAAAACAAAAACAAACAAACAAAAAAAAAACAAGTGCAGTGTGAGGAGAGGCCCGCAGAGAAGAGTCCTGGAAGCTGAGGGGAGGGAACCTCAGCAGCATAGTGGACAGCGGTGCCAGTGACTTGGAAAGGTCAGAAAACAGAAGACAGAAAGTGGGTTTGGAAACCAGGGACACCTGGGGAGAGGCAGGTTGACTGCAGTGGTGGGAGCTGGAACGGGAGGGGTTGGATGAGGCTGAGTATGGCACATCCTCCTCGGGGCTGAGATGGATTTTATTTGTCTTGGGCTCCCCATGGCTGGCACAGGGCAGTGTCTGAGCTCATTCATTATTTCCTTCAGGAAGTCTGGGTGTAAAGGGATGGAGAGAGGTGAGATGTATGCAATAAGAGGATTTCTTAAGGATGAGACAGGAGGGCCTTAGAGCTTTGGCTTCCTCCTGTGAACTTGTGGGGTGGGGAGCCTGGTGCACCAACCTGAGGCACCTGAGAGAGCAGCATCAGGGCGTGGGTTTGAGCCCTGGGGTTTTTTCCTAGAGAGAGGAAAAAATGAAGGGAGGAGGAGGAGGAAGCTGGGGAGATCACATCTTTGATTTCCTTGTTCCTGGAAAGTGAAAGGAAGTGCACCTGCTAGGAATGAGAAGGTGGACACATTGGGTGGGGACGAGGTGAGTGACATGAGCTTAGGAAAGTTGCTGAGGTAATGGTAGACAGAGGTGTTCAAATAAAAGTAATGCAATTGGCAAAAACTGTTACTAAGACTTTGTACAGGCACAAATCAGTGACATGGCAGCGTTTTCTTTCACAGTAATCAACTGCCAGATTACAGAGAGCCCTGATGCCAGCCTAAGGAGTGTGGGTTTCTCCTCTAGACCTGTAGGTCCCCAGCCTCACTTCTCAGAAGACTCTCCTGGAGATCCTCTGTGATGCACAGATCCCCAGACTCACTGCCCTGAGACTCAGATTTCCTGGGTGGGGAGGTCTGGGGATCTATGTTTATAATCAGCTCCCTGGAGGTTCCCATGTAGCCAGATAAGTATTGTCAGAACACTGAAGATTTTTGAAAATTGAAAAAGAGAAGATTGGAGCTGTATCTTCAGAACACTACTAAGGGTGCTGGGTAGAGGAGGGACCAGAGGCAGGGAGATGAGGTAGGAAACTGCTATTATTGTCAGAGAAATTGCAATGAAGGCATGAATTAGAACAGGGAAAACACAGAGGCAGGGGAGAGGTGGGAAGGGAGAAGAAAGGAGTCGTGACAATTCCAATGTGGATGCCCACCCAAATCTGGAAGTAATTGAGCAAATGTTTTCTGGGCATTAGAGAAGGCAACTAGAACAAACAGGAATCTTTGCCTTGGTTAAATGTATTTGAACTGGGTCAGAAAGAGGCCACTGGGTATCAAGCCTTAGCTCCAGCGCCCCCTGGAAGTTACTGATGTGCTCCAGGCTGACCTGCTCCCGTCAAAAAATATTGAGCAAGATGCCTCTCATGGAATGTTCTGGGACCTTAAAACAGACACTCAAGTATTCCCCCTGATTTCATGGTTCCCAGGAAGAAATTGTACATAATTCACAACTGAGATTTAGACATGGGTTGAATAGTCTAGTGGACGTTGAGTTTACAGAGGTGATGAAGTACTGAGACACAGGTGCCCCTTAAATAAACTCACATTGAGGGAAGAGACTGGCAATGTGGATCAGTCTGTAAACAAGGCAAAAATACAATAGGGAGTGACGGTTGTGGGTCAGTTCAAGACTGCTTTTACCTGGCCCAGCCCCATGTCAGGGTATTTGTGTTCTCCAGAAGTAGAAAGGAAAGAACTGAGTGATTAGGGACCTAGAAGACTAATTTGAGACACTCCTCTTGATGAGCTGTTCTCTAGGGGATTCCTCTGAATGAGCTGTTCTCTATTGGATTTCCCTGAATGAGCTGTTCTCTAGGAGCACTTGACCCTTTTCTGTGTTTGTTTTTTGTTTTGTATTTGTGTTTGTTTTTGAGACAGGTTCTCACTCCATCTCCCAGGCTGGAGTGCTGTGGCACCATCATGGTTCACTGCAGCCTCCACCTCCTGGGCTCAAGTGATCCTCCTGCCTCAGCCTCCCATGTAGCTAGAACTACAGATACAGGTACCACCATGTCCGGCTAATTTACTTTTCTTTTTAGAGATGGATTCTCACTATGTTGCCCAGGCTGATCTTGAAACCCTGGGCTCAAGTGATCCTCATGCTGCAGCCTCCCAAAGTGCTAAGATTATAGGCATGACCACCCTGCCTGGCCTTTTCTGCCTTCTGAGGAGGAAAAAGGTACTGGTGGCAGAGATCCAAAAGCAAAGCTGCAGGTGGCAGTTGTGGAAATCGACCTGAGAACAACAGAACGAGCTGGGGCACAAATGCAGAGATGCAGAGGGAGGCAACACCTGGTTATCTGTGAAACCTTCACGGGACCTGAAGACACAGCACAGAGGAGGAACTTGGAAAGGACGGGATTTCTACTACCCAAGCATGTAGGGGCTCAGGATATTCTGTAAATATGAAGATTTTGAATTTTTGTAGGTGAGGTAAAAAAATACATAGGTTATTTACAGAATAAGATATGTCGAGCTCTCTTCATTTTCTTTGTATGTTTATGAAATAAAGTTATTAGATTAACAGGCCACCATAATTCCATTGTCTGTATATCTTAATTTCAAGATATTATTTGAGTAAATTTTGCATCCTTTGTATCAAGATAGAACTTTGAAAGGATAGGTAATTTCACAGTTGGTTAAATATTCTTCGCCCAAATTACTTTAGTTAAAATTTCTCCTAAATGCACTACAGAGTGCAAACTGTCTCCCTGCCATTCCCCTAAATGCTTACTAATTATTATTTTGTTCAAGATCATGCATGCTCTACTTGAAGGTCTATTTCTATCTTTTCAGTGCTACCCTTACCCACTAGGCTAATCACATTATTCCTATTTTCAACATCTAGGATCAATTACATAGTGAATATGCCTAAGAAATAATGATCTGGCCAGATGCAGTGGCTCAGGCCTGTAATCCCAGCACTTTGAGAGGCCAAGTGGGCGGATCCCTTGAGGTCAGGAGTTGGTCAAGTGCTCCTAGAGAACCAGCCTGACCAACATGGAGAAACCTTGTCTCTACTAATATTACAAAAATTAACCAGGTGTGGTGGCAGGCACCTATAATCCCAGCTATTCAGGAGGCTGAGGAAAGAGAATTGCTTGAACACAGGAGCTGGAGGTTGCAGTGAGCCAATATTGCGCCACTGCACTCCAGACTGGGCAACAGAGCAAGACTCCATCTCAGCAAAAAGAAAGAATGAAAGAAAGAAAGGGCAAGATTACGCCTCAAGAAAAGGAAGGAAGGAAGGAAGGAAGAGAGGGAGGGAGGGACAATCTCAAATGCTATTTCATTATTTTTCTTCTCCACTCCTAGTCCAGCCGAGGGTGAACATCGCCCCCTCCAAGAAGGGTCCCTTACAGCACCACAACCTGCTCGTCTGCCATGTGACAGATTTCTACCCAGGCAGCATTCAAGTCCGATGGTTCCTGAATGGACAGGAGGAAACAGCTGGGGTCGTGTCCACCAACCTGATCCGTAATGGAGACTGGACATTCCAGATCCTACTGATGCTGGAAATGACCCCCCAGCAGGGAGACGTCTACACCTGCCAAGTGGAGCACCCCAGCCTGGACAGTCCTGTCACTGTGGAGTGGAGTGAGTTAGTCTCTGATGACCTCCTAGATCCCACCTCTGAAGAGCAGGGACTCTCCGGCTCTGGGGTTCACTCATCTTGTCTTCTGTGTCTATACCCTGTGGCCATGTCCAACGCCATCTTTCTTCTGTACGGGCTCCTGAGCGTAGTTTCAAGCTGGGGCAATGGAGACTTGCCTGACCCTGGCCTAGGGGTCCTAAGGATTCATAGTTCCCCCACTTGTCAGAGAATCTAAGGACACAGACACCTTTCTGAACTGACCTCACACATAGGAACGGATCTCTTCCTTCAGCATTTTAGCCTCTTCTCAGGCATTTTGAGAGGCAACTTCCAGAATCAGCATTTGCCACCTGGTTGAGATCACACCCCTGTTCCAGATATGAGGGTGGCTCTTTCTGAATTTCCTCTTAAGCCAGCTTTTCCCCTGGCACAGTCCTCGTCCTGATATTCTGCATCAGGCTCCAGAATTTCAGACAGGACGTGAATAGGGGCGCAACTGGTGAAGGTGACACTAAACCTGGGTCTGTCCTTCCCAGAGGCACAGTCTGATTCTGCCCGGAGTAAGACGCTGACGGGAGCCGGGGGCTTCGTGCTGGGGCTCATCACCTGTGGAGTGGGCATCTTCATGCACAGGAGAAGCAAGAAAGGTGAGAAGGCCTGCAGGGTGAGCGGGACTTACCTTCCCCTGGCGTATTCACACTTACTCCATGATGAGGGGTTCAGACAGAAAAGAAATGCCAGAAAGCTCTAGAGGCCACTGAAATCAGATAGTCGGGGAACAAACATGACCTATAGCGAGAGAGGTATCCCAGGCTGGGATCTTAATGCAGCCAGATGCATGAGGTCCCAAGTACTCAGGCTCCTGCGAGGTGTCCATTGAGTGATGGCCAATGGAAGTTGGTGGGATGGAAATGTTTCTCGAATTATCTGAGGTGGTTTCAATGGCTGAATACAAAACCTTTCCTCTTTCATTTCAGTTCAACGAGGATCTGTATAAACAGGTAATATTCCTGCTTTGATTTCCTTGTGGGGTGGGTTGCAGGAGGATATGAGTCCTTTCTGTGCAATGTGGCACTGAGGCTCCTCTAGGAAGAGAATCTCAGGCCTGAACCCCTCTTTCAACCTCAGCTCTCGGGTGAGTGGGGAAAGAGTATTGCTTGGCTCCATTGCTGAAGGAAGCAGAGATCAACTCTGTTCTTTATCAGCCTAAGACTCAGCCTCTCACCATAATTTTTCTCTCTTGGACTTAAAGAAAGGAGGCCCACAACCTGGGATAACTTGTCCTTTACCCCCACAGGGTTCCTGACCTCACCAAAAAGACTAATGTGCCTTAGAACAAGCATTTGCTGTTTCATTAGTACCTGGTTCCAGGACAGACCTCCAGCTTCCCAAGAGGATACTGCTGCCAAGAAGTTGCTCTGAAGTCAGTTTCTATCGTTTTGCTCTTTGATCCAAAGTACTGTTTCTCTCACTGGGCCTCCAACCATGTTCCTTTCTTCTTAGCACCACAAATAATCAAAATCCAACATGAGTGTTTGTTTTCCTTTAAAAATATGCACCAAATCATCTCTCGTCACTTTTCTCTGAGGGTTTTAGTAAACAGTAGAAGTTAACAAAGAAGTTCATTTTGGTTTACATGTAGGAAAGAAGAGAACCATGAAAATGGGGATGTGTTAACTATTGTATAATGAGGCCTGTTAGACATGGCACTCTTCTGAATTGACTGTATTTCAGTGAGCTGCCCCCAAATCAAGTTTAGTGCCTTCATCCATTTAGGTCTCTGACCACTATTCTTAGCTATTCCATGGTGAGCAGACTGCAAATCTGCCTGTATTCACACAGCACTAATTCAACATATACCTTACTAAAAGGATGTTTTATCATTACTATTAAGAAGTTAAATTAATATCAGAATTTAAAATTATAAATTTTATGAATCTAATACACTTTAACCATTTTCTTTGCATGCCATCACAAATACTACTTAACCAAATATGACTTGGCCTTTCGAATGCATCCAGTAGACGTCATTTGTCGTCTAAGTTTGCATTCATCCACCAGCCTAGACCTCCTGTCTTCATTTTCATACAGACAGAAATGCCTCCGCACTAGGGAAAGAGCAAAGAAATACGTGTAGCACTTTTCTTCAAACACTGGCCTTTTTGTTTTTTTTTTAACAGTCCAACATTGTTATGTGTTTTGCGTCTCATATTGACACCTTTCAGTCAAGGTAGAGGACATGTTTGTTGCAAACTTTCTTTTTTGTGTAGAGGATGGATTCTTCACTCCTGATACACATAAGCAGTGCACAGCAGCTCTCTGATACATCCAGTTGATGACTTCAATCTCCCTGGCTTCTTACAAGCATCTTCTGGGCCTTGTGTGTCCCTGGGCGCCTGTCCCTGGTCAATTCGCAAAAACTACTGTGCCCCTCTTGCCCACCTCCCCTTGCAAATAATATCCACCATGTGGGGACCGGCTGCCTCCAATTCCAAGAGAGGTGGGGCTGAAGGTACAGACTTGGGCTTCACTGCCACAGATATAAGTAAATATAGCTGGAGTCTACAGAGAGGATGGACTAAGTGAGGGAGTCAGGAAAGAGAAGCCACCCATAAGGATAACAAATTATGTCTCATAATCCTCTTAACCTAGGGAATAGGACACAATCATTTTTTCTTTTTAAAACATCCTTATCCCTGCTCAGCCTCATTTCCTCAAAAACTATAAAGGAAAATGCTACTGACTTGTTTCTGTGTAGTAATTTCAGCTGTCACATAATGGGATAATGAGGCCAGTATATAGTAAATAAATGAGGACCCTTTATCTGTCTTATTTTCACTTTGGCTTCACAGGAAACTTGTGAGAAACCTTTGCAGCAGAAAATTAATATGATTTTAATCCAGGGATTCAACGATGGAAGGAGGTCATGAGAATAGCAGAAAGTCTTCAAATTGAGATGACTATGAAATCCTCAGACCCAGAGCACATAATCCTACCCTCAGAGCCATGGAGCAGTCAACATTCCAAACCATATCCCATCAGAGTCATTCTGTTCCATGCTCGTCACCTGTACCCACGTTACAGGTTAGGGCAGTCCCAGAGTGGAGTGAACAATCTCTGGACTAACACCTGGCAGGATCAGAAGCTGAGGGATCTGCACCCACATTACAGGAACAGGATATGTGCTCTTAGGGAACTGACGGTATAAGGAGATAAGGAAAGGCCCTGCAGTCAAAGAAAGAAGGCATCAGACATGTCTCACTGTGACATATTCAGGTGTTTATGAAACTCTGGGATTTCTAAGGAAGAATGCAGTGCAGAGAGAGGTCCCGTAGGAGACAAGTGCTGAGAGACCATCCAAATTGGGAACCACCTTGTCACTAGACTTCAAATTTTCAATATTTATAGTGTTTTCTAAGAGTCAGGCCCTTTGCTGAGTGCTATGTGCAGCAGGATCAAAGGTAGCCAGGAGGTAGAGGAGTCTTGAGGTACATCAGTCACCGGGGCTGAAGAGCAGAGATTCAAAGGAAAGCTGGGACTGGAGCTTTAAAGGAGAGATGAAGCTGGTGACTCCCCTGTGTCAGCCTCTGACTCAGAAAGATGAAATGCAGTAGAATACACCCTGTGGGCTTACTCCCAGCTGAGTGTTGTATCCCCCACCGCTTTCCACCTGGTCCCTTCATTTTCTACCCCTCACAGTCCCCTAAGGAGAAGGTGGTCCACCCAACAGATGATGCAGTCCCAGATGGTGATCAAGGGGGACCCTAAGGAGAAGTCATTTCATCCTCCCTTTGTGCCCATTTGTCAAGTAGCAGTGAGGCTGAGCCAGGGGATGGTGAAAGTGGAAGGAGGTGGGAGTTGGGCATGGGCTGTGAAGATGCTCTTTAAAGGGATTCTAATAACCACTTGCTACCAGGTCAGTGAACACTTACCACAGTTGATGCCTTTTGAGCACATCACATTGTAAACTGTCCCTGAAAGTCCTGTGCACTTGGCTTATGGGATGAAACATCCTTCTAGTTCTCCTGTCCCTCAGGTTCTTTGAAGTCTCATTGAGCACCTTCCCTTCAACTCCTTTTACACAGTAAGAATAGGATCAGCTGTGCTAAAGTAACAAACACCCAGATATCCAGGTTTGGCTCATGCTACACATCCAAAGTAAGTTGTCCAGGAAGCTCTGCTCATCATCTTACTCAGGAAGCCAGGCTGACAGGCTTTCTCCTGCACCTCTGCTCCCAGAACCTCCCCAGAAGAATGAAGGGAACCTAACAAATCATTCACTGGCTCTTAATGATCCCTCCTAGAAAGAACACACTTCTCGCATCTCATTTTCCAATGTAAATCACATGGCTGCAACTAACTTCAAATGAATGGGAATCCTTGAAAGTGGAAAACATTTAAGCAGTACATATTAAATAAATAATAAAATACTTCTACAAGAGATATTTATGGAAGACCTACTGTGTACCAGGAGCAATGCTAGGCATTATGGATATCAGTAGCCTTTGGCTCCTGAAAAGTTTACAAACTACCTCCTGGCCTAAGGAGAGGCGCAGGGATGCTGGCAACAGTCTATTTCTTCACCCAGGTGCTAGTTACATGGGTGCTTGTGGTGATAATCATTCAACGTACATTCTATTGGTTTGTGTGTTTCTTCCAAATGTCCCCTAGTTCACAATAAAAGGGCTTAAATAGAGAAGTAAAGGAGAATTTGGAAATTTGAAGCAAAAGCAAGAAGCCAACAAATCAAGCACAAATACTGAGTTTTGATAAAGATTGGAATAAGAAACATAAGAAATGAGATAATAAATAGGACTTTTGCAACTGAAGTGTAATTAATAAGCAAAAAGTCAGGCTGAGAAACTGCCCCAAGGAAAATATGATGGAGTAAACAGTAGAAAATGTAAAGGAAAAGTGAAGAGAAATGAAGGATAGAAATAGACATCTGACATCTTGATAATTAGACATCTAGAAAGTCAGGGAAATAGTGGAGGGAGAGGAGATAACTGAAAACATAATGTTTAGTCTTTATAGAAAGATGAAATAAGTTCATTCAAAATGCTGCATAGAATGTCAGACTATTTGTTAAACAATTTTGTTAGAGTGAAATGACTGAAAACAAATAAGATAACTATGTGAATTAAGAGGATGGAAAAGTAGAAAAACAGCAAAAAGAATATACACGTAAACAATAAGGACAAAAGCTGAATTCAGTGAAATATAAAAATGGGGAAGACAAACAAAATCAAATTTTGAGGCAATGAAAACTTAATGAGACCTCTGGCAAGACTCCTAAGGAAAATACAGGAGATTCAGAATGAAAAGGGGAAATAACTGTTTGTACACACATTTTAAAATGCAAAATCTTACAACCAACTCTATACATATAAATTTGAAAATTTAGATAAAATGGATACATTTCTAGAAAGATATAAAGGTCAAAACGACAGGAAGAAATAGAAAACTAAAATAGAGTAGAGAATATCAAAGAAATTGTCATGGGAAGCAAAGAATCGCCTTCCAAAAGGCCCTGTTCTGATCATATTGCCGTTAGGGGCATCCTCCTACATTTCCAGGAGCAGATTATGCCTCTTACATGTGTGATTCTAGAAAACAGAATGGAACAGCATTTTTGAGATCATTTTATGAGGTTGGTTCATTTGTATTTCCAGAGCCAGTCACTGAATCTAACAGTACATTATAAAAACAATCAGTTTTGACCAATTTAGATTTATTCTAGGAATGCAATGATCCTTCAGTGTCAGAAAATATATAATGTGGTTAACACATTAGTGGACTCCACAAAATTCATATTAATTTAAACTGAATTCAGCTCAAGACATAGACAGAATTTAATCAATTTCATGATGTGTTAAAGATAGTGAACCAAAAATCTATAGCTTATATATTTCAAAGAAATGAGGTGGATTCCCTGTGAGATTGTGCAAAAGATAGGATGTCCTTCGTTGCTGGAAATGTTTAACGTGGCATTGGAAGTTCTGAACATCCCTCTGTGAGCAGAAGAAAATTAAGGCTGTGTAAAATGGAGGAAGACAGATTGTGGGTGCAGATGAAAAAATCTAATACTGGACAAGACTGCAGCCACTGCTGGCCCAAAGCCTGGGTTTAAATCCAAGATTTGCACTTTGAAGTTGTGTGGCCTTCACCTCCCCCCGTGTCTGATTTCCCCTCTGTAACATGAAATAAATAAGAACCAAACTCCACGTGTAAATAAGTGAACACATGAGAAGCACTTAGAATAGTGTCTGGAACACAGTAAGCAACTCAACGAATGTCATTTCTCATTACATTTGTTAGTGTTTTCATCCAGCCCAATGGCACTAAAACATCAGTGCTCAAAGAGCCCCTGGTGAAGTGTTTCTCTTTCCCATTCTTCACCCCTAACGTTTTATCTCGTCTATTCCACTGTGTCCCTAATGCACCTCTAGGATGACTCACAGGAGCCCCTGGACCCAGGGATGCTGTCAGATGGCTTGGTCTTTGAGATGATGGTGCCATTGAGGATCCCCGCCAGGCCCACCAGCAGGCCGAGGGCACAGACCAGCATCTCCATGGTCTCAGGCACCTGGATTAGTTCCCGGACCTCTGGGCCACCAAGGGAAGACAGAGTAATAAGGTACAGAGAGCAGAAGCTGGCCTTGGGTGTGGGAGGTGTTGGGTATTTGAAACCATGAGATGGTGAAATTTGGATAAAGTGACCATAAAACATAGGATTGAGGAAAGCAGGTGCTGAGGGGTGATGGGTCCAGGAAATAAAGGTGGTGCCAACGCCGTGATGGCAGAGGGAGGGCGCCCCATACCCCAGTGCCTGAGGAGAGGCTGGTGCAGGCCCCAGTGCTCCCCCTGGAGGTCACAGGTGTCCTCCGCCGTGGGAAGGAGGATCGGGTAGTGGAACCTGTGGAAACTGAGCTTCTTGCTGGGCAGGAAGATGGTCTCTGCAAAACCCTCAATGACTGACTCCATTGCGCAGCCACGTGATGTTCAGCGGCGGCAGGAAGAACTTATCAACATGGCAGATGAGGGTGTGGGGCTGGCCCAGTGCCACCGGCTCCTTAGGAAAGACAGTCACATCGGGGGGTTCCAAAAGGGGATAGAACCCAAGGAGCCTACTGCCATTGACTGAGTCTCAAAGGTTCCACCACCCCAAGCCCTATATTCACCAGATTAGGGGCCACCTCTCCCAGGCCCATCCTCCTGCTCCCCCAGGGCTCCTAGACAGGGTCACAGCTTCTCATGCTCCTGACCTGGGCCCCTCAGCCCAGCCTTTCTCTTGAATAAGAAGAAAACACCTCCCCCTCTGCTGTCCTAAGAGCCCAGCTGTGTGGACCCAACACGGCTCGCTCTCAGGGAAGGGGCTCATTCATGAGTGGGCAGCATGGCTTCTAGTTCTCTGTGTGGCAGAGAGGCCCTCCCATCCCCGTAGAGGAACAGGCAGCTATAGGCCCAGGGCTGTTTGGACCATTGAACCGGGTGTTTAAGTCCTTCCTTGCCATGACGATGCCAGCAATATGCCTCTGAGCACCAGAGTCAAAGGTGTGAATAAACTCTGGTAGATGCCAGACCATCTCCTTCTCATCCAGGTTCACATAGAACTGCTCCTCCTCATCAAACTCAAACATATACTCTCCAGAGGGTCTGTGTGTCTGCACAAACTCTGCATATGTTGACACATGGTCTGCTGCATGAAGGAGAAGAAGATGGAGAATGGGTGAATATGAAAGAAGCTACACAGAATGCAGGAAGCAAACAGGTAACAGGAAGGTTATTGGGAACATGAAGGAATAACACAAAAAATAAGAACTGCAAAATGAAAGAAAAGAAAAGGAGTGAGAAGAAATAAAGACAGAAATGACCCATGGATGATATAGGTTGTTTCTCTTGTCCCTGAAGACTTAACATCCATCTATGATAATGATAATATTGAAGACAATAAGGTAATATTTATTGGGCACTTACTATGTGCTAAACTTACTCATCGAGTCTTCACACCACCATATAGAAGAATTATTTTCCATAATAGGGAACTGACTCCAGAGGTAAAGTAAGTTGTCCAAGTCACACAACTCCTGGTAGAAACAATATTGAGTAGTCCTCCTGCCCCACTCCCACAGGATCTCAGAAACCCTACAAGACAATACATTAAAAATTACTGATATAGCCATAAAGCAAGGCAGGGAAGTGGAAGGATGGAATAAATATTTCAGAATGGAAAAAGATCGTGAAGGACATGAAAATACCTCCAGAGTCCTAGTGGCATTTATTGACATCAAGTTACATTCTTTCTTTTAGAAGAAAAATGGTTCCTTATATAATTTTATCCACAACACTTACATCTTAGGCAGAGTAAATTTAAAAGTATTATCATTCACATAACATTCACAAAATTGTCTTGTGGAGTGTAGTTTCACCTGGAAATACAAGTTGTTGTATTTGAAACGCCTATGGGATAGTATCTTAGCTTTACCTGATATGTAAGAAGCAGCAACTGGTTGATAACAAAAAGTGAATTATTATTACAGTGAAAAAGTAAAGATGAGAGAGTTTGGGGTTCAGCCTGGAAGAGGAAGTGAAGCAAAATTACACTGCATGGTTGATGGTCCCTAAGCGAGGATTTCCCCTCCCAGACCAACACGGGGAGAACCAGTCCTCTACTTGGATGCACAGAGTGACAGCAGGTTCAGTGTTGCACACGGATGGTGAGGGTCCCCCACTGAGTTTAGGGTCTATAGAATTACTCACCTACAGAAATGAAGCCCAAAGGGAAAAAAAATACATGGTGTATATAGACTGGGCTACACAGATGTAATTGGTTCAGCTTAGGCTACTTTATATTTATTATATTCACAAAATCTGAAAACTAAAAGTTGGCACATTTTGAAGCAAATTGCACACTTCAGATATTAATTTTCATTCAGTTAAATAAATGCTTATTTTGAACTTTCACTCTCCAGGTAATAAGGATGTAACTCTAAAGATAGGGACTTTGTCCTCAATCTACTTGAAATTCAAGAACAAAAGAGACAAAGAAAAGATGATTGCTGTATGTGTGGTTTGATCACCACTGAGTATCACAAGGTATACCAAGAGCTACTTAGGAATAAAGTTAAAATACGATTTAGGAAAGGTTCCTAGGGACAGTGTTCACCTGCAGATAGCAAAACAAAGAAAGGGGAAATGGCTTTCCAGCAGGAGAAGCAGGCTCAGGAGCAGAGAGGCATAAAGCTGCAAGGAGAACTGCAGTTCTTCAGTGTGACTGAAGCCAGGGGAGATGTGGACCGGGCTGCACTGTAACCTGCCTTGTGTGCTGATGGCAGGTGTTTGCATTTTATCCACAGGACACGGGGGAAACTGTGAAGGATCTTAAGCAGGAGAGTAACATGGTCAGATTTGTGTTTATATGGGGCACCGATAGGAAAGATGGGCTGGAGGAGGCTGGACTCAAGGAAAGACCAGTAGGATTTTTAAGCCCTCTGGTGGGAAGTAATGAGGGCGTAGGCCGGGGCAGGAACACGGGGTGAAGAGGACAGCAGATGGGTTTGATGGCAGTAATGACATGAGAGGCCATAGGAATCACTAAATCATCTGCCAGAAGTAGGGATATGAAGAAGTCTAGAATAACCGGGCAACGTAGAGAATTGTGGCATCAGTGACTGCAAAGGTGATAATGAAGTGATTGAGAGAAGATAAAATTTTCTGTTTGGGACATACTGAATTTTAACTTCTAGGGAAACAAATGTAGTTGATTTGAAGGCAGTGAAATAAATGGATGGGTGTCACGCTACACTAGGTTAGTGACGTAAACTGGAAGGAGGCTCATGGTGGGTGAAGTTCTAATTTTGGATCAGGTTGCTCAAGAAAAGCACACAAAGTCAGGATAGCAGGGATCTGAGTGTGTGCTCCTGCATCCAGATAAACACAGACATGAAGACAGAGGCTGAAAAGGAGAGGACTAGAAAGTGGTAGGAAAACAGAGAGGAAGTGGATTCATAAAAGACAACAGACAAGAGAAAACTTCCAGGAAAGAGGCGAGGATGCATCTCAAATACACTAATGACACACATAAGACAGAAACGGAAGAGTGACCACTGGCTTGAGTTGTATAAAAGTCATTAGTTGCCACCATGAGAGCAGCATCAGAGATGAGGGAAAGAAAAAGGGAGAAGTGCATTGGGTTGAGGACTGAATGAAATGGGAGAAAATCGATAATAGGCTGGGCACAGTGGCCCATACCTGTCATCTCAGTGATTTGAGAGGCCAAGACAGGGGGATCACTTGAGGCCAGGAGTTTGAAACCAGCCTAGGAAACATAGTGAGATTCCATCTCAAAGAAAACAATTTTTGATTCCCTGCCTTCCATGAGCAACACAGCAAACATAAGCTCTGCAGATGTGCTCAGATTTGAGCCTGACTCACTGAAGAGAGTCTGGTGCTGCCAGGCCTCAGACACCAGATTATAATCAGCCTCTTCCCAGGCCCTGCATAAGTGAGGCCCATTCTGTGGGGCAAATAGTGCCCAGGGGTGGTACAGGCCCTACAGAGATCACAGACTGTTCACCTGACAAGAAATATCTTGAGGAACTCACTTCACACATCCCTCAAGAAAGGAAGCACTGAAGGAGAATACCCAGAAAACCGAAGGAATTCATAGATCCTTTTAAAGAAGTGAGGGGCCACTGCAAATTCCACCAGACGGGTGAAAAACTGTGCATTCCCGAAGAATGAGAGGGGAAAAACCTGCCTCTGAACACATATCCCCACTGGGGAACCTGAAAATCCAGTTTACAGGAAAAGGATTTAACTTTACCTAGACCTGAAACAGACTTAGCATGAAAAATAAAAGTAGGCCAGGTGCGGTGGCTCACGCCTGTAATCCCAGCACTTTGGGAGGCCAAGGCGGGTGGATCATGAGGTCTCAGAGATCAAGACCATCCTGACTAACACAGTGAAACCCCGTCTCTACTAAAAAGACCAAAAAGTTAGCCAGGCGTAGTGGCAGGCACCTGTAGTCCCAGCTATTTGGGAGGCTGAGGCAGGAGAATGGCATAAACCTGGCAGGCTGAGCTTGCAGTAAGCCGAGATCGCCCCACTGCACTCCAGCCTCGGTGACAGAGTGAGACTCCATCTCAAAAAAAAAAAAAGGTAGATGCAGCAGTGGGAAGAGTCTTGTAGGCACGCCCAGTCTTTAGCTCAAGCCTAGGGATGCCATCCCTGACTATATATCACAAGGGCCCTGGAGGAAGGCAGACAGCAAAATTTGGAAAGGGTCACAGTGTGAAAGAAGCATCCAACTGAAATTTGTTTTAATTTTGACTGGGCACAAATCCTCTGGAGCAGAATCTGGGGGCGCACAGGAACTGCTGGAGAAAGAGCAGAAGTTACTGCCAACATTGTGGGCAGAGAGGGAGGCACATGGCCTGAGAGCTGTGCTTGCTTTCTAAGCAGGAAACTTACAGCTTGGAGTGAGGTCTGAGTCCCTCCTGAAGGCTGCCTGGAGATAAACTCAATGCTGTTAGTGTGGCACAGCAGGAGCAAGACCTGCCTCATCCACTGCATGAGAGCTGGCTGAAGCCTATTGCTACCAGCTTTCCCCCACTTCTCTGGTGACAAAGGCAGCCATAATTCCCGCTGGAACATAATTCCATTGGCTGGAGAAAAACCTCCCACCCCATCCCTCACAGTGGCTGCAGCAAGCCCCACCCAAGAAGAGTCTGAACTCAGACCTGCCTAACCCTGCCCACACCTGAGGGCATTTCTCAACCCACCTGGTAGCCAATCACAGAAGATGTAAGCTCTTGGGAGCTTTATGACACCGCCCATTGCCTGAAAAACCGAATGTTTAGCTTGGCCAGCTTAGGGATCCCCCTTCTACTATGAGAGAGAGCTGGTGCTCTCTTGAAAGCACCACATCCTGGCTGGAGGCCAAACAACTCAGGACATTACAACAACTCATGACAGAATAACTGCTCCAAGAAAGGAGAAAACAGTTAATTCCACTCTCTGAAAAATCCTGACTGACCAGTGGTTCTCGATCTGTCCACATGATAACCGCACTGCTACCATAACCAGCATTTGAGAAAGCCACAAACTAAGTCTGTCTACAACCAAGGACTCTCACAGAGTCTACTTCACTCCCCTACCACCTCCACACTAGACCCCAGCAATGGATCCAAACTAAGAAGAAATCTCTGAATTGCTAGATAGAGAATTCAGAAGGTTGATTTTAAGCTACTCAAAAAGATACCAGAGAAAGGTGAAAAACAACTTAAAGAAAATTTTTAAAAACACAGGATATGGATTAAAAATGCTCCAGGGACATAGATATCATAAAGAAGAAACAATCCAACTTCTGGAAATGAAAGACACACTTAGAGCAACACAAATGCACTGGAAAATTTCAACAATAGGATCAAACAAGTAGAAGAAAGAACTTCGTAGCTCAAACAGCAAGACTTTCAAATTAGCCCAGTCCAAAACAAAGAAAAAAGAATTTTAATAAATAAAGCCTCCAAGAAATTTGGGATTATGTTAAATCGCCTAAGAATAATTGGCATTCTGGAGGAAGAACAAAAATCTAAAAGTTTGGAAAACATATTTGAGGGAATAATCGAGGAAAACTTCCCTGGCCTCGCTAGAGATCTACACAACCAAATACAAGAAGCTCAAAGACTACCTGGGAAATGTATCACAAAAAGATTATCTCCCAGGCACATAGTCATCAGGTTATCTAAAGTCAAGACAAAGGAAAGAATCTTAAGAGCTGTGAGGCAAAGGCATCAGGTAACCTATAAAGGAAAACCTATCAGATTAACAGCAGCCTATAAACCAGAAAGGATTGGGGTCTTATCTTTAGCCTCCTCAAACAAAATAATTTTCTGGCAAGATTTTTGTATCCAGCAAAACTAAGCTTCATAAATGAAGGAGAGATACAGTCTTTTTCAGACAAATGCTGAGACTGCACTACTACCAAGCCAGCACTACACGAAATGCTAAAAGGAGTTCTAAGTCTTCAAACAAAACCCCAAAATACAGCAAAATAGAACCTCCTCAAAGCATAAATCTCACAGGGCCTATAAAACAATAATGGAAAGAAAAAAAATAAGGAATTCAGGCAACAATTAGCACAAGAAATAGAACAGTACCTCCCATCTCCCTATTAACATTGAATATAAATGGCCTAAACTCTCCACTTACAAGATACAGAATGGCAGAAAGGATAAAAATTCACCAGTCAAGTATCCGCAGTCTTCAAGAGTCATCTAATGCATAAGGACTCACAAAAACTTAAGGTAAAGGAGTGGACAAAGATATTCCATACAAATGGAAAACAAAAGCAAGCAGGAGTAGCTATTCTTATATCCATCAAAACAGACTTTAAAGCAACAACAGTTAAAAAATTCAAAGAGGGACATTATATAATGATAAAAGGATAAGTCCAACAGGAAAATATCACAATCCTGAACATATATGCACCTAACATGGGAGCTTCTGAATTTATAAAACAATTATACTAGACACGAGAAATGAGATAGACAGCAACACAATAATAGTGGGGACTTCAATACTTCATTGACTGCACTAGAAAGTCATCAAGACAGAAAGTCAACAACGAAACAATGGACTTAAATTACACTAGAAGAAATAATAGATATTTACAGAACATTCTACTCAACAACTGTAGAATATACATTATTCTCATCAGCACATGAAACATTCTCCAAGATAGACCACATAGTAGACCTCAAAACAGGTCTCAATAAATTTAAGATAATCAAAATTATATCAAGTACCCTCTCAGACCACAGTGGAATAAAATTGGAAATTAACTCCAAAAGAAACCCTCAAAATTATACAAATACATGGAAATTAAATAATCTGCTCCTGAATGATCTTCGGGTCAACAATGAAATCAAGATGCAAAATTCTTTGAAGTGAAGGATAATAGTGACACAACTTGTGAAAACCACTCAGACACAGTAAAAGCAGTTCATAGCATTAAATTCCTGCGTCAAAAAGTCTAAAAGAGCACAAATACAAAATGTAAAGTCACACCTCAAGGAACTAGAAAAACAAGAACAAACCAAACCCAAACCCAGCAGAAGAAAAGAAATAACAAAGAGAGGAGAAATAAATGAAATTGAAACAAAAAAAAAATACAAAAGATAAATGAAACATGAAGCTGATTATTTGAAATGATAAACAAAATCGATAGACTATTAGTGAGATTAACCAAGAAGAGAGAGGATCCAAATAACCTCAATTAGAAACAAAATGGAAGAAAATACCACTGATATTACAGAAATAGAAAATATCATTCAAAGTTACTATGAACACCTTCACACACACAAACTCAAAAACCTAGAGGAGATAAACTCCTGGAAATATACAACCCTCCTAGAATAAATCAGGAAGAAACAGAAACTCTGAACAGACCAATAAAAAGCAGAAAGATTGAAATGGTAAGTTTTAAAAATCTGCCAACAATAAAATAATCACAGGTTCACATGGATTCACAGCTGAATTCAATCAGACATTCAAAGAAGAGAATTGGTACCAATCCTACTGAAACTATTCCAAAACATAGAGAAAGAGAGAATCTTCCCTAAATTATTCTATGAACCCAGGATCGCCCTAATACCAAAACCAGGAAACTAACAAGAAAACTACAGACCAATATCTCTGATGAAAATAGATGCAAAAATCCTCAACAAAATACAAACTAACGAATCCAACATATATCAAAAAGATGATACATGATGATCAGTTGGGTTTCATGCCAAGGATGCAAGGATAGTTTAATATGCACAAGTCAATAAATGTGGTATATCACGTAAACAGATTTGAACACAAAAATCTCAATAGACACAGAAAAAGCATTTGACAAAATCCAGCATCACTTTATGATTAAAACCCTCAGTAAACTTGACATACAAAGGTCATAACTTAAGGTAACGAAACCCATCTATGACAAACCCATAACCAACCGTATACTGAATGGGGAAAAGTTGGAAGCATTCCCCCTGAGAACTGTAACAAGACAAGTACCGGAAATCCTAGCCAGAACAGTCAGACAAATCAGTAAACAGGAAATCAAACTGTCGCTGTTCACTGAGGATATGATTGTATAGCTAGAAAACCATAAAGATTTATCCAAAGAGCTCCTAAATCTGATATATGAATTCAGTAAAGTTTCAGGGTAAAAAATCAATGTACAAAAATCAGTAACACTGCTACACACCAACAGTGACCAAGCTGAGAATTAAATCAAGAACTCAACCCCTTTTACAGTAGCTGCAAAAAAAATAAAATACTTAGGAGTATACCTAACCAAGGAGGTAAAAGACCTTTACAAGGAAAACTAAAAACACGGCCGAAAGAAACTATAGATGACACAAACAAGTAGAACCACGTCCCATGCTCATGGATGGGTAGAATCAATATTGTGAAAATGACCATATTGCCAAAAGCAATTACAAATTCAATGCAATTCCCATCAAAGTGCCATCATCATTCTTTACAGAACCAGAAAAAACAATCCTAAAATTCCTATGGAACCACAAAAAAGCCCACATACCCAAAGCAAGATTAATCAAAAAGAATAAATCTGGAGGCATCACATTACCTACAAGGCTATAGTCACCAAAAGAGCATGGGAATGATATAAAAACAGGCACATAGACAAATTGAACAGAATAGAAGTCTCAGAAATAAAGCCAAATATTTACAGCCAACTGATCAAACAAAAACATAAAGTGGGGAAAGGACATCATATTCAACAGATGGTACTGGGGAAATTGGCAAGCTACATGTGGAAGAATTAAACTGGATCCTCATATCTCACCTTATACAAAAATCAACTCAAGAGAGATCAAAGACTTAAATCTAAGACCCGAAACCATAAAAATTCTGGAAGACATCGGAAAAACTCTTGTAGACATTGGCATAGGCAAAGAGTTCATGACCAAGAACCCAAAAGCAAATGCAAAAGAAACAAGATAAGCAGATGGGACCTAATTAAACTAAAAAGTTTATTCAAAGGAAAAGAAATAATCATCAGAGTAAACAGTCCACAGAGTGGGAGAAAATATTTGCAAGCTATACATACAAAAAAGGACTAATATCCAGAATCTACAATGAACTCAAACAAATCAGCAAGAAATAAACAAATAATCCCATCAAAAAAATGGGCTAAGGAGAGGAACAGACAATTCTCAAAAGAAGATATACAAATGGTAGACAAACATATGAAAAAATGCTCAACATCACTAATTATCAGGGAAATGCACATCAAAACCATTATGTGATTTCAAAACCACTTTACTCTTGCAATAATGGTCATTAGTTAAAAATCAAAAAAATAATAGATGTTGGAGTAGGTGTGATGAAAAGGGAACACTTCTACACTACTGATGGGAAATTAAACTAGTACAACCACTATGGAAAACAGTACAGAGATGCCTTAAAGAACTAAAATAGATCTACCATTCGATCCAGCAATCCCACTACTGGAGGAAAAGAAGTCATTGTATGAAAAAGACACTTGCACACACATGTTTACAGCACCACAATTCACAATTGCAAAAATATGGAACCACCCCAAATGTCCATCAATCAATGGGTGAATGAAGAAAATGTGATATATATATATATGAGATAAATGTGATATATATATATGAGATATATATGATCGATGTACCTTAAAATACTACTCAGCCCTAAGAAGGAATGAAATAATAGCATTTGCAGCAACCTAGGGGGAGTTAGAGACCATTATTTTAAGGGAAGTAACTCAAGAATGGAAAACCAAATATTGTATGTTCTCACTTATAAGTGGGAGCTAAGCTATGAAGACACAAAGGCATAAGAATGATATAATGGACTTTGAGGACTTAGGGGTATGAGTAGGAGCTGGGTAAGGGATAAAAGACTACACACTGGATACAGTGTACATTCCTCAGGTGATGGGTGCACCAAAACCTCAGAAATCATCACTAAAGAACTTATCCATATAACCAAACACCACCTGTTCCCCAAAAACTCTTGAAATAATTTTTTTTTAATAAAACTTTTATGGGAAGGATGCTCTGGAGTTCTGAGGAGGAGGCATGAGCATGTGTGAAGAAGGCACAGATGAACACATAGGAGGGATCTCTGAGAAAATAATGGCTACCAGGTCACTGCTAGACTCACCACGGGGCCTTCTAAACCAGGGGGCTCCTCCAGGAGCATACCCTGTGGAGTCAAAGGTTAAAACTCAGAGGTGACAGGGCCAGCACACCAAACCCCACTCGCTTCTCCTCTTTCCACCACCTCAGCCCTGTGACCAGCATCACTTACAGGTTCCAGCACTGCAGGCTCTCTTTTCTCTCCCTTCAGCCCCCGGGGTCCATGGGCAGCCTGAGGGAGACACACATGTAACCCCAGTGGGGCCCATGAGCAGCCAGGACACCAGGCCTGCCCCCATCTCAACTCCAACCTTGATTCTTAGGTCCTCTGGAGACCAGACCAGCCCTACACCCAAGCCCCACAGGCCTCCCCTAAATACCTCTGTTCACAAAACTCTCAGGCCTGCCAAGGAGACCTCAGGGTTCCAGCACCCTAGTTCCCAGTCCCACCTCAGCAAACACAACCTCTCCAAATCCTGGAGAGCCTCTTTCAGAAAGAGGACTTTGAGTCTTTCAGTCTTTCTCCAGAAAAGAAAAAGTATATGCCGTTATGCACAAAATTTTATTTAGAATTTGAAGGAGTTCAAAAATGTAAAAACCCCACACAAGTATCCATACCGCAAGTAAATTTGGAGAACATTCCCCAAAGATATTCCAAACTGAGGCCTCATAACTGGCTTTTGCAAAAGATATAGTTCTTGGGCTCAGTTATCCAAGCCCCAGGCAGCCCCCTACAATACACCCCACAGTTCCTCTCCCAGCAAGGATGCTTTGCCTTTCCTCTGGCCTTCATGTACACTCCAAGCCAACCAGTTCCCTCCCTTGCACACCTCCACTCAGATGCCTGTTCCCAATCCAGGCCATAGCCAAAATAAGGGTAGGGAGAAGGTGAAACATTCACCACCACCCCAACTCACCGAAACAAAGATCTTCAGAATGCCCCTCTCCACCTTCATCCTGACAGCAATGATCAGTTTCAAATTTCTCCCATATCCAACATCAACCCCAAAGACCCAGACAGCAGCATAAAGGAAAGGCAGCAGAAGGTTAAGGGTGCCAAGAGTGGGAGGTGTGGGATGCAGCAGCAGGGTAGAGAAGGCATCCATAACTGCAAGGCAGGCAGAAGATGGAGCAAAGTAGACAAGAAGCAGTTCCACTGACAAGGAATACTGGAAGATATGAGAGCAACTAAGGGACACAGAACAAAATGACAAATACTTGGATGCAAGAGTGATGCCAGGGCCAAGGAAAATTAAACATAGCCAAGATGGCCACAGAACAATCCAGACAAACAGGAAGTGGCTGTACAGACAGGAAGCAGCCAAGAAAAGAGGATCCAGGAAGTGAACTTTCAACATTATGGCTACCATGATCCAGAGTGAAAAGAAAGGCACAAAACAGGTAGAATGGGACTCCTGCAAAGGGAATTATGCATGTGAGGCTTGGTGGGTAGATGAGCAGGAAGTACAGAGTAGATAGAATCAGATGAGTGAATAGATAGATGAGTGGAATTGAATAGGTGGGTGAATGAATGGTTGGATGGGAAGTGAGTGGGTGAGGAGATGGGTGCATGAGTGTATTGAAGGAGAGAGTGGTTGAGTTCCAGGAAGGATAATGGATAGATGGGTGGCTGAACAGATGCATGCATCCTTGTATGCATAGGTAGATGGGGCGTGTGAGTGGGTGGGTGAGTGAATAGATGGATGGATAAGTTGAAAAGGACAGATGAACAAAAGCATAGTCAAATAGATGGGTGTAAAGAAGGGGAGAGTCATTAAGCAGGGGGAGGATGGGCAGGTAAGTGGATATAAGCCTTCCTACATGAGTAGATGGGTAAGCGTGTGATGCATAGGTGGGTAAATGGTTGGGGGAGTGGGTGGTGGATGTGTGCGTAGGTGGGCTGGTGAATGAGTGAATGGATGGGGTGGAAGAGGAGAGAGATGGGTTCAAGGGATAGATAGATGGGGGGATGAAGACTGAAGTACAGAATAAGCAGCTGTGGACAGTCCTGCCACATAAGTGGACATCTAGTTATTCTGCAGAGATCAGTAGTTCTGAAGATAGGAAATGCAAATAAAAATTCATGAGGAAAAAAAAAAATGAAGGCTTAAGAAATAGGAACATTGGATACTGGGGCCAGAAAGGGAGTGGGCACAAGATAGGGGACCAGAAATCACTCCTTTCTCTGATTTCTGTGGTTACCTCAAAGACTTCATCCAGGATACAGGCACCAAGGATTATCACCCCACATGTGTCCAACACTGAACTAGTGCTTCAGGGGAGAGGCCAAGTGACTAACATCTTGCAGTCAACAATGAGGGTGACAGACTGACCCTTCATGGCCATAGCCACACGGTGCCACCTGGTCATGGAGTGAGAGGTTCAAGTGACTGACTGAACTGGGGACATCAACAAGGTTGGAGAGCAGTTGATGAAAGTTAAAACCAATGATGATGAGAACAGTAATCACAATAGCTGCGATTTATTGAGTGCTTACCGTGCACCAGACGCTGGGCCATCACTTTCTCACTTGATTGTGCTGATTCTATTTACTGTCCATCCTAAGATGTAGAAACTGAGGCTCAAAAATTTAAGTAACTTGCCCAAGGTACAGGCTAATACAACATGCAGAGAAAGATGCCACACTGTGAGCCCAAACTCTGGGCTAGAATTGACTGAACTTTGGGCGGTGCGTAGGTGTAGTGTGGCCAAAAGAAGGAACAGGGTTCCACAGTTTAGAGTATACAGGTTCTAGGGCACTTTCTCCTAAAAGTGTGGGCCGGACAGACCAGAGGAGCAAAAAGACTTACTTGCCAACTACTAGGGTGAGGTCCCAGAAGACCAACTGAACAGGAGGTTGAAATTGTCCAGTCTGATCCTCATACAGGAAGCAGACAGGTTGGCCCAGGTCCAGGCTCAACTGTTGGACTCCCTGGGCACTGTAGAGAGTCAGGAGGGGGAGCTTGGAGACCAGGACAGGTCCAGAAAACAGTTAGGAGAAAAATCTTTGGGAAATCCTCCTGATGCCCGAGAGAAATACACACAGAGTGAGAGGCAAAGAGAGCCACAACCCCTTTCCTCCTGGTGTCTGATTCCAGACCCCACCCCATTACCTCCCTCACCATGTCACTACACCTAGGAAGAGGTAGAGGGTGGGTGTGCTGAGTTGGGCAGCTTATGACACTCAGTAGGGGGACAGATACCCCTTGCCCTCCAGACACCATCAGGGAAGGAGGGAACCTCAGACCCAGGAACAAATCCACAGGCGGTGCACCTAGGAGAGTCCATGAGGGTCAGGGGAAAGGACGTCCCCTCAGGAGGGAATAAATGGGAGACTTTGTTTCAGAAGGGAGTGGAACTTGCACTTGTGGTCACAGAGGGCTGCTAAGAACTCCTCAGCAGGACAGTTCAGCTGTGGGAACTGGGAAGGGGTGAGACTGGGAAGAGAGGAGGCTGGAGAAGTGTGTGATGATGCTGAATGGTGTGCAGCAGGGGGGAAGGTGTGCAGATGAGAAGAGAACTTGAAGGGTCAGCAATTCCATCAGGCTTTGCGGTAGAGAGCACATGAACTGAGAAAGAAAGCTGAGATGGAGTTTGTAGGACAGCTGGAATTCAGAGCTCTCCTAAGTCCTCTTTCTTTCACATATTTCGTCACCGGCCTCGAGACACACACAGTTACTGTCATCCCTGGGTTCAGTACTGTAAGCCCAGACCCATCTTCCCCACTCGCTTTATACTTGATCCTCCTATTTCTCTGCCCTGTTTAGGTCCCAGGCAGAAGCTACGTGGTCATCTCTGTGCCCGCTCTGGTCCTCCAGGTGAACAGCACTTAGAAGTCAAGGAGTTCCCTAAAGTCAATGAATTTCGCCCCAAACCCCTGCTGACTTTGAGGGCATCTGTAGGCATCGCATCTCCAACATATCCTGACAAGGGGAAGGGCCACATTTCTGAAGCCAGAGAAGAAGCTCAACTCTGGAATGATGGTGATGAAGGAGAAATAATTGCTCACGTTATGTAAAACTGCTCTCTGTAAGGATGTCAAACCAAGGTAAGATTTCTGAAATGACTTTTATTGAACTTCTGACTCCACTCTACTTCCTCCTTCCTGGAAATCTTTACTTCCTTGGCTTATGTGCCAGCATATTCTACTAATTCTTCTGCCTCTCTGCTTCTCCGTTTTCTTTGAATAGTTCTCTTTTGACATTTTGTTCATTATATATTATTCCATTAATTTAGATTTCTTAAGATATTTCATTAAAACATGATTGACTTTTATTACTGAGTTCTTTTGGTATCTTCCTAAATTTTGTACCTAAGGTAAGTCCCGGCCCGGCTTTCCACACTGTCTCTTAATATCTAACATTCTCCATTCATTTCATTCATTTTAAGTCATTGTAAATCCTTATAGATAGAATTATAAATGTGTGTAAACAATGAAAAATTGAAAAGAGAGAGAATATATCCTATGTCCTACTGGATATTAACATATACTATAATGTCATAGTAAAAAAAAAGTATTAAAAACCTATCGAACACTGTTAAAAACCTGTTGAACACCGTTAGATGCTAAATATTCAAATAAAAGTAAGATATACATCTTGTCCTCCAGATGCTTACAATTCACAGAAGGGACCACAAGTGACAAGACAACACAGGCCCAGATGGATAAGTGCAGATATGGGGCATGCACAAGATGCTGCTGTCAAGGCATTAGGGAAGGCTTGCTGGGGAACAGATGGCTTCAGTGTAGACAGTCCGAAAACAGGGCAGAAGCCACTTCTCACACAGCAGGAAGCAGGTTCAAAAGTGTGGGCCCAGTGTGGCACGTGACATATTTGAAGAACTTCGCATGCTTCAGTGTGAATGGAGCCAGCTTTGGATGTGGAACAGCAGCAAGAAAAGAGGAAAAATAGACAGGCAGGGGCTGGATCATGACAGATGTTACATGCAAAACTCGGGATTTGTTACTCGGGAGTCCTGGAAGTCATAAGGAATTATTGAAGGATTTTAAGCGGAAGAGTGATGACACATTTGCAATTTAGGAAGATCACTATGGCAACAGTGGGCAGCTTGAGTGGAAGAAGTTGGTTCAAGAGGCAAGACAAACAGTGCCTGAATAAAGAGAGAGGAAATGGGCACAGTAGCAAAATGATGGAAGAAGAGGACTTAATTTGATTGACATTAAAGGGATTATTGGTGAGTGATGTCGGTGGTATCTGACGTAGAAAACTCCCAGATAACTCTTATTCCTAGACTAGCCAATGCAATCATCTCTGTGTGTGTGTGTGTGACTTTTCTAAATTATTTTGATTGACAAAAATTGTTTATATTTATCATGTATGTTGTTTTGAAGTGTATGTACATCATGGACCGGCTACATCAAGCTAAAGAATTTATGGCTCACCTCACATACTTATTTTTTGTGGTGAGAACACTTAAAATCCACCCTTTTGGCAATTTTCAACAATACATTGTTAGCAACTATAGTCCATGTTATACAATAAAACTCTTAAAATTATTCCTCCAATCTAAATGAAATGTGTCCTTTGAAATGTATCCTAAATGAAATGAAATGGATGTATCCTTTGACCAACGTCTGCCCAGCCCAGTGAAAACATCTCAATTCCATTCATTAGAAAGGGTAATGAGAGAAGACAGCCTGGCTGAGAGAAGACACTGAGTTCAGTGTGGGGCTATTGCACTTAGCATATCTGAAAGTTATCTAAGGAATAATAATACATAAACATTCATGTATGATGGGTGGTCTCAGGAGATGAGTTTAAGCCAGAGAACTGAGAGTCATCAGGCATAGTTGCAGGTTAGATGAGATTTTCCAGGAAGAGTGCCAAAAATCAGAAATGCAGGGATCTCAGGATATGATGAGAGAACATATTTAAGAGATGATTTCAAAGGATAATAAGGAGGATTCGGTAAATAGGAGAAAAATGAGGACAGAGTAGCTCATTAGAAAGAAGTGGATTATAGTGCAAATATTACCAGTAACTCAAGTCAGAGGCACTGAGAAGAACCCACTGGATTTGACCTTCTGCAGAGGTTCCTGATGGCCGTGATGAGAGGGTCCTCAGGGATGTACTGGAGACAAAAGTCAGAAGCTTAGCTCCAAGTGGGAGGACACAGAGAGAGTGTCTCTAGGGTAGGATGCAGACTGAAGGCAAGGTTGTTTTTTTATTAGTTGGCTCATGGTTATGTTGTTTTTTTCCCCCATAGGTTATAGTGGTACAGGTGATATTTGGTTACATGCGTAAGTAAGTTCTTTAGTGATGACTTGTGAGATTTTGGTGCACCTATCACCGGATCAGTATACTCTGTACCCTATTTGTAGTCTTTTATCCCTCGCCCGCTGCCACCTTTCCTCCCAGGTCCCCAAAGTCCATTGTATCATTCTTATGCCTTTTCGTCCTCTTAGCTTAGCTCCCACATATCAGTGAGCACATATGTTTAGTTTTCCATTCCTGAGTTAGTTCACTTAGAATAATAGTCTCCAATCTCATCCAGGTCGCTGCAAATGCCATTAACTCATTCCTTTTTATGGCTGAGTAGTATTCCATCATATATATCTATATCTATATCTAGCTATATCTATCTATATATCTAGATATATAGATATAGATATATCTCACAGTTTCTTTATCCACTCGTTGATTGATGGGCATTTGAGTTGGTTCCATGATTTTGTGATTGTGAATTGTGCTGCTTTAAACACGCATGTGCAAGTATCTTTTTCATATAATGACTTCTTTTCCTCTTGGTAGATACCCAGTAGCAGGATTGCTGGATCAAATTGTAGTTCCACTTTTAGTTCTTTAAGGAATCTCCTCACTGTTTTCCATAGTGACTGTACTAGTTTACATTCCCACCAGCAGTGTAGAAGTGTTCCCTGATCACCACATCCACACCAACATCTACTGTTTTTTTATTTTTTGATTATGGCCATTCTTGCAGGAGTAAGGTGGTTTCACATTGTGGTTTTGATTTGCATTTCCCTGATCATTAGTGATGTTGAGTATTTTTTATGTTTCTTGGCCATTTGTACATCTTCTTTTGAGAATTGTCTGTTCATGTCCTTAGCCCACTTTCTGATGGGGTTGTTTGTTTTTTCTTACTGATTTGCTTGTGTTTGTTGTAGATTCCGGATATTAGTCCTTTGTGAGATGTATAGATTGTGACTACTCTGTGGGTTGTCTGTTTATTCTGCTGATGGTTCCTTTTGCTGTGCAAAAGTTCTTTAGTTTAGTTAAGTCTCAACTATTTATCTTTGTTTTTATTGCATTTGCTTTTGGGTTCTTGGTCATGAAATCCCTGCCTAAGCCAATGTCTAGAAGGGTTTTTCCCATGTTATCTTCTAGAATTTGTGTAGTCTCAGGTTTAAGTCTTTAATCCATCTTGAGTTGATTTTTGTGTAAGGTGAGAGATGAGGATCCAGTTTCATTCTCTTACGTGTGGATAGCCAATTATTCCAGCACCATTTGTTGAAAAGAGTATCCTTTCTCACTTTATGTTTTTGTTTGCTTTGTCAAAGATCAGTTGGCTGTAAGTATTTGAGTTTATTCCTGGGTTCTCTACTCTGTTACCTTTGTCTATGTGCCTATTTTTAGGCCAGTACCATGCTATCTTGGTGACTATGGCAGGGAACCTGAGCTTTTTCCCCACAATCCTATACTGACCGCTTCTACTGCATAATTATTTTCTTCTCTTGAATTTTACATGCTAGTCTTCTATTTACATTTTAATATTTATATAAACAAATGAAGCCACTTTTACATTTTCTTTATTAAATTAGGAGGTCTTATAGGATTACACTTACAGGTCTTTAAGGAGTAATATTCTTTGAAAGTTTACTAAACTATTCAGTATAAACACAGCAGAATCAGATGTTTTTGAAAAGGTAGTGTCTTTTATGAATTTTTTTTTCATTTCTTCCTCATTCACTGTATAATTTATAGTCTCATTTTTCCAAAGAAATTACAGATCTGTTGATCTAATTTGACCTTAAGAGTCCTGCTGTAAAGGCAGGTTGTATCATCCCCATATTGAAGACAAAGTATTGAAGTCCAGGAGAGGCAGTGGCCTTAAAGCTGCATACTTACATGGTAGTGTAGGTGGTGTGTCCATGCTCCCAGGTGTAAGGTCCCTAGTTTGAGCCCTGCTGACCCCGATGACGGTCCTATGGAAGGAGCCAGTATCCTCCACACATCTCAGGACCCACAGACATGCGGGAGAAAGAATATATGAATGGGCACTAATCTGAAGCATGGCCTTGAACAAAGGCAAGACAGACTCCAGGCCTCATTTTCAGTTCTGGAATGGGTACTCTAATCTCTCTAAATCATGCCACTGAATTACCTTTTACACACTGAGATAGTATTTCTTCCACATCAGGCCATGTCCTGTGGGGGTGTGAGGTGTGGCAGAATTCAGGAAATGGTAATGCCCATAGATGGGTCAGCAGAATATGAGATCACCTTCAGAGCAAAGAAAACACATCATCTCCCCAAAACTCATGACTCTGACTGGTTAAAATGAATGTCACTGTTCTCCATCTGTCATCTTAACAGCATCACCAGCTCCATATTGTTAGATCTTTCATACCAACTTTCTGCCCAGTGAGCAATGACTCATACAAAGCTCAGTGCCCATTGGTTCTTTTCTCAGAGTCTGTTCAATCCCAGGGTCACAGAAGACTACCTGGGTTCATGGTCTCTAATATTTCAGACAGGAGCTTCTTTTAATGAGTCTTTATTTTCCTGACTGCAGCTCTCTTCATTCTGCCTTCCTTTTCCAGCTCCATGATGATCCTGCAGGTTTCAGGGCATCCCTGGACAGTGGATCTGACAGCACTACTGATGGTGCTGCTCATATCTGTGGTCCAGGGCTGGGCCACTCCAGGTAAGAGCAGAGCTGCCATTCCTGGAGGGTCTGGTTCAGGGAACAATTCCTAGGGGACTTTCTCTTCATGGAACCAGACTCTGAGACAGCATGTGGGGCTCCTGCCACAGCCTAGTGTCCTTCTATCACAGCTGGAGAATCAAACTCACCTCCTATAGGACAGGTTGCTATCCAGCAGGTCTATTGTCTCTCCAGGAACATGGACACAGTAAATAAGGAGCCCAGGGGTCAGGATGCTTGTCTATGGGGAAATGGGGCCAAGAGGTTCAGGATAACCTTGGACAGACAAGGTTTGCAGAGAGAGAGGTTGGCAAGTGCAGGCTCCTGGGTGTGCTCACATCTGCATCCAACCTTGAGGGGACTCAGGCAGAGAGCCCTTAGCTGGTGTGTCCAGGCTCCAAGGATCACTGAGGATTCAGTGCTCATGGAGAATGCCTCTCATTCTCCAGGGTGGAGCAGGAGCCCGTGCCCCTTGGACAATGAAGGCAAGATGGGAGGGAGGAGGACAGGTTTGAGCCCCTGAAGGCACTCTCGTTGAAAGTATTTCTCCCAGCCTCCCCAGAACTTGGTTAGAGTATCAGGGTGGGTTGAAACTTGTCAGAAGAATGAGATAAGGATGTGTGAGTACGTGAAAGAGATTGAATGTAGGTTATCAGACAGCCAAGGAAGCAGTAACCAAGGGAAAAACCTCTGTCTCCTGCTGTCTCCTTGTGGCTGGTGTAATATTATGGCTTCTATGACCCATTGTTTTCCTCTCAGAATGTTCTTACCTTTCTGGCCCAAATTTACATCAACACCCTGAGAGGAAGGACTGCAAAGTAGGCGCCTTACTTTTCCATTGACTTCCACCTTTCTGCATAGACCCTTCCTCTGAGACTGTTCCACATCCACCTAGGACCTACCTAGAAAGTACTGTCCTCATGTCACCTCCCCATTTTTCTGGATAACAGCATTCGAATCTCCTGAGGACAGCCCCTCAAACCCCAAAGCCCCTCACCTGTTACCTCAGGTTCATTGTCCAGGAAAGGGTGGAGAACCTGCACTTGTAGTCACAGAGGGGTGCTGAGAACTAACCAGCAGGAAGGCTCAGCTCTGGAAACTGGAGAGGGGTGAAGTTGGGGAGAAAGGAGGCTGGAGCAGCACTGGTGACACTGAACAGTGTCCAGCAGGAGGTCCATAGCAACAGTGTCCACAGGTAGAGTTGTTTGTAGGATGAGGGGTGGTGTCGGGAAACGCCATAGAAACCTCGAGGTGCAGGGTAGCAGAAAGCACAGGAGGGAGTGTGATGATGCTGGGCAGTGAACGGGTGGAGGGGCAAAGACTGGGTTGAGGTTGGTGGGGGGATGAGATGAGGCAGTGACGGGGACTGAGGGTGTGTTACCAGAGCTCCCTGCATAGAATGAATGTTCAATCAAAACCTGCTGGAGGAAGAGCTGGAGTGATAGGGAGTGGGTAGAATGGACAGGGCCATTTCCACAATTCCCCACATGCTCTTCCAACTCCACACACATCTCCATCCTCAAACAGAGCACAAGAGGAAAGGCACAAGGAGCCAGGCTGTGGCTTAAAGTGAGGGAGGGGAGGGTAGAGAAAAGCTTGGCTGAGACACCACCTAGGGAGCAAGAGATGACACAGCAGGTGGAAAAACCAGACTCCTGGAGGCAACACCCTTTTGTCTCTGACAGGCTTTAAAATGGGTTTTTTACAGCTGAGTTTCTTACCTCACCCCACCCACTACCCCAGGCATTAGGGCCACACTCCTGAGTCCTCCTGTCACACCAGCTGGCACTTGCAGAAGCTCATTTTGCATTTGAGTCTTTGGGTACTTACTCTTCTGTTAATCTAAGCCCTCAAATAAAATCACTAGCACAGAAGACAGGTGGGAAGATCCAGTCAGCAAACAGCCAACACTTTTCAACCATTAAGGTCTGGTGCCCGTGGAAAGTCTTCCTGAGGTTTTCCAGTAGCTCATAAGCTGATCCAGTTCCTTTTTCATATGCATTTATTTAGAATTTTGCTCCCATTCAAACAGGTCACACAGTGAAAAGAGGAAGGGAACTAATTAACATGGATTGAGCAGTGACAGATACAATACTATGTATTTTACATATGTGAGCTCATTTGGTTCTCACAGCAATTTTACTAGGTAAATAGTGTTATTACTATTTTGCCTTTCAAGAATTTGAGAGTTGTTAGAAGGTTGTTTCTTGCCCAAGATAACTTAGTAATCAGTCGTAGTGCAAGAACTGGAACCCCTACCTGGGACATGTTCCTTTTCTTACCCATATGGCCTCCCTTATATCTTTCTGTAATTGTATTTTAATATATCCTATTCTGAGTGAGAGATGAATTCACTCAGATCATTGATTTTCAAATTGTGCTCTGGGTAACTCAATTGTCAAGGGTTCCACAAACAGGATAAAGTTTCCCATATACAAAAAATAATAATAATAAAGGTTTCAAATTCCACCGTAGACTCATCACTTATGTCTGCTTTGCAGGTAAAATTCCATTTAAAAAGTTAAATGTTGCAAAGGAAAGTTTGGAAATTCTTACTCTTGACTAAAACATGTTCTCGTATTGGTGAATGAGGAAGAGAAACAAAGACTAACAAATTAAAATGAGAGGATACCTACTCAGAGTGCGGCAGTTGAACTGGGAGGGGTGGACTAAAGGGGCTGAGGGCGACGGGCCTGGGTGTTTCGGAGGCTGGAGCCCAAGGCACTGGAAGAAGAAGCAGGTTAGGATATCTGAAGTCCTGGGGTCTTGCCTTAGAGATGACACTGGAAAATACAGGCCAAGTGTATGGTGCCCCTGAGACCAGCCCCACCCCTTCTCCACTGTCCTCTGCCACCAGCTGTGCATCTTCTGTGAGGGGTGAGTTAACAAACGTGAGTTGTAAATTTGTAGAACATGAAACAAGTGTCCAAAACAAATCTTAATTTGCTGTGTGCAAATCACAGCACCTTAATTTCTCCACTGTGACCAGGAACAGATCAGGACTGAAGAGGCTCAGACAGAAGCAAGCAGACATGTGCTGGGTCATTGCTACTTCCGTATACACATGCACCTGCCGGACACTGCCATGGTGCTCCCTAGGAAGAACCACAGGCGGAAAAGGCTGCCACACTTCTTTATGTAAAAATGACACCATCAATGCCTCTAAACCTAAAGGAGTCCAGCCACTTAGTATTCTGGTTGTTCTGGTGATTTTCATCGATTAAGATATTTGCCAGGTATTTTGAAATCGAGTCTTTCTACAAGCCATGTTTAAAAAGTGAAAATTAACTTTCAGGCTACATTGTCTTTCTTATGACAAACTTGAAGAAGTTTTAAGAAATGCATTTCTGGCCGGGCGCGGTGGCTCACACCTGTAATCTCAGCACTTTGGGCGGCTGAGGTGAGCAGATCTCAAGGTCAGGAGTTCGAGACCAGCCTGGCCAACATGGTGAAACCCCGTCTCTACTAAAGATACAAAAATTATCGGGGCGTGGTGGCTCACGCCTGTAATCCCAGCTACTCAGGAGGCTGAGGCAGGAAAACTGCTTGAACCCGGGAGGCGGAGGTTGCACTGAGCGGAGATTGCGTCACTGGACTCCAGCCTGGGTGACAGAGTGAAACTCCGTCGAAAGAAAGAAAGAGAGAGAGAGAGGAAGGAAGGAAGGAAGGAAGGAAAGAAAGAAAGAAAAAGAAAGAAGAAAGAAAGAAAGAAAGAAAGAAAGAAAGAAAGAAAGAAAGAAAGAAAGAAAGAAAGAAAGAAAGAAAGAAAGAAAGAAAGAAAGAAAGAAAGAGGAAGGAAGGAAGGAAGGAAGGAAGGAAGGAGAGGGAAGGAGGGAGAGAGGGAGGGAGGGAGGGAGGGAAGGAAGGAAGGAAGAAAGGAGGGAGGGAGGGAGGGATACTCCGAAGAAAGAAGAAAGAGAGAAAGAGAAAGAGAGAGAGAGGAAGGAAGGTAGGAAGGAAGAAAAGGAAAGGAAATGCATGGAAATGGATTTCTACATTTCCAGCATGCAGAACAGCAAGAGCGAGTTGAGGTATTCTCAAGAAACTGGCAGAGAAAAGAGAGCACCTAGCTGTAAAAAGGGAAAGAAGGAAGGGACGGCTTCCTGGAGGAGGTGGCATTTGAGCCAGGACTGACATCAGGATGGAAATGTCAGGCAGGAAGTTGGGTAGGGGGAGCAGCTCCAGCCTCCAGGTCCCCAGCTCCTCCCATGCCTTCTGTTTCTTTGCCTGAGGGACCCTCCCCTAATGAGATTCTGCTCCTCTCTGAGGCTTCACATGAAATATTTCCCCCTCCTCCAGCCGCCAGCAGAAGGGGCTGCTCAACCACCCTGAGCAGTGAGTCTCATTCTTTTCAGCAAATCCTCTCGCTGCATGGTGAGAAAACTGAGGCCTGGAGAGGGTCTGAGACCTGCCTGGGACCGCAGAACTCGGTAGTAGGAAAAATCGTATTTTTAAATCCAGCCCTGAGTGAGAAGATTTGAGGAAATAGCTAATATCGAGGAGGGGGTGTTGTTGGGGGTGGCAGCACCCCCATCTCTCCACCCTCCTCACAGAGAATTCCGTGTACCAGGAACGGCAGGAATGCTACGCGTTCAATGGGACTCAGCGCTTTGTGGACGGGCTCATCTATAACCGGGAGGAATACGTGCATTTTGACAGCGCAGTGGGGGAGTTCCTAGCAGTGATGGAGCTGGGGCGGCCCACGGGCGAGTACTTGAACAGCTAGAAGGACTTTATGGAACGGAAGCGAGCCGAGGTGGACAAGATGTGCAGACACAAGTACGAGCTGATGGAGCCACTCATCCGGCAGCGCCCAGGTGAGGGCTGTGGACCAGGGCTCCTGGGGCAGCCGTGGGGGCCAGGCCCAGGGAGTAAGGGCAGCCGGGCCGGCCTAAGGGACCTTAGTGCCAGGAGGGAAGGGGACTTTGGGCTGGGAATTGATGGGAGGAGCCCAACCGGAGTTTGTCAGGAGGGTGAGCACGGAGACTGGGCTGAGCATGGAGTGAGGAGGATGGAGGGAGAGAGACTCCCGGGACTTCATCAGGCCTGGCAGCTGACTGCATGTGGGGTGAGGGGAAAGGTCACAGGACAGCGTGCAGGGGTGTGGTGTGGAGATGGAGGTCAGCAGGCCACGCAGAGAAGAAACCTGCAGGGAGACCCCTGGGTTTGAGATGCTTGAGGGGCAGATGGATGGTCTGATGGGCAGGTAGAGAGAAGAGTTTGCGGCCGGGGAGGGGCCTGGGCTACATGAGACCACCCAGGGAGAGAGGACCCAGCGGGAGGAGCATAGGACTGGATCCTGGGAACTGGACATTGTGATTTTGAAACGGCTCCATTGTCTGGGGTATATACCCTGGTTTTTTGTCATGGCCGAGAAGATTCACGACACAGACACACATGAGGCATGGGTTTGGGAGTGGAAAGTTTAATAGAAAAGAGAGAAAATCCTTCCTCATGCTGAGAAAGCGGGTTGCCCAACAGAGGGTCTGCGGTTTGTGGTGGAATGCAATCGATTTTGTACAGAGACTTGAGTGATTGATTTACAAAGGGCTCAGGGGATTGGTTTGACCAATTGTGTCACTTACATAGCCCACAAAAAGACTGACTCTCCCACCCTAGTCTTTTATTATTCAAATGCGGCCTCCAACTGGTGGTGGACATGATACCTGTACATGTGGTTTTACCTGGAGGCTGCCATGACACCTGTAAACGTGGTAACAAGGAAAAGCGAGTGGGAACCGCCATATTGGATGTAACTGACTTCCAGGTACAGCTGCCAGCATTTACATGTAAAAGCTTCAAGTTTGCATATCTATGCCTGAGTTTTCAGGCTGCTTTCTGTTAGAGAAGAAATGGTTTGGGGCTGCTTTTTATTAAATGAAAATTCCATTGAGAGCTTTTACCCTTTCTAGCTGCCTAAAAATAATTTCTTAATAACTTCTGTATTATTTCCTCCCTCAGGAGACGTAACCATAACTGCTGTTAGGGGGTATTAGATGACGATTCTTTCTGGCTGCCTCCTGCTGAAAAGGGGCGTCGTGTTCGGGGGCTGCAGTTGGGGCTTCTCCTAAGGTTGATCTAAGGCTTCTTGGAAGAATGACATGTCCGTGTGTGGCTTTGTTTGCAGCACCATTTGAAGTTTGATTGCTTCTAGGCGAAAAGAGATAAATTTTACAAGAAGGTTGAAAATATAGGATTACCATATGAGTATTAAGATTACCACTATTAGTAGGGGTCCTACAGACCATAACTATGACAGTAGAGTTTGAAACCTGTTAGTTACACCAATAGCTTGTAATACTGGTTTGTCTCCACTAGATGTCGTTGTACATCACCAGAAAGGTTATAAAAGTAACATTTCCTTTGCGAAAAACATGTATTTCCCCCTTGACTTGCTACTAGGGCATAATTTTAAGTTTAGGCCATTCTTTATAACTTATGATATGATTGGGAAAATATGTTATTGGGTGGCTAAAATAACTTTGGTGCTAATCTTGGCAATTCCTTTCCTTTAATTATTAAATTCCTTAATTATTAAATTCTTTCATGACTTTCACAGACCCTCTTACAGCATACTCAACTTTCTGACTTGTCTTAAACATCCTTCCTTTAAACAACCAGTTCCTTTAAACAACCAGTCATTTCCTTTTAGGATAAGAATTTACTATACAAGATCGTTTCTTATATAAAATCTCTTTCTAACCTTCTTTCCATAGCTTAGAGTGCACCATATTACCAATCTTCAATAAAAAGTCCTATCAGACTTAGTGATAGTAAAACTTCCATGCTTACTTCTTGTCTGTAACTCTTACTCCTGCTGTAAACAAAACTAACTTGACCAAATCCTTCCTGCAATTATGAATTGTCATAAAGATGATAATTAGGCAAAATATTACAGCAATTAGAATTTTACAACCAGAATTCCACATTGTGAGTGCCACAGTATATAGTTCTATTGCAAATGATAGCATGACTGTAATAATTCCCACAAAAGTGGTGTAGTAAATAATTTCTGTTTAAAACTTTACTTGCCAAGATATAATGTTTCCTTTGGGGATTTACAAGTAACAAATGCAGTCCCATGTATAATTAAAATCTCCCTGCAAATATGCATTAAAAATAAGTTCTAATACTGGACAGTGAATTTTGAGAGGAAAGGTAGAAATGATAAACAGTACCTGGTGAGGTATGAATGGCACTAAGATGAGTAGCCCTCACTCATTTACTTATCTTTCATGATTTTCAGCTTTAAGATCTTCTATTTCTCCACATTGATATTCAGGATGTTTCTCTGGGCTGTCAAAGGTTGCTCCCTCAGCTTTTCAGGCTTTGACTTGAGTGTGATAAATTCAGAAGTTGATACCTGTAACTTTTACTGCTGAGGGGGTTGAAAGAAGACCTGTGTAGGGCCCTTCCCACTTGGCTTAGGGAAGGAGAGAGAGAGATGAGTTTTCACTAATAACAAATTTTCTGGCTAAGTAAAGGTGGTCCAGTTTCCTGGGGTTGGCCTTTTGCTAGTTGTGCCAATTCCTGTTGGAAGTGAGCTAGAGAGGTTACATTTTTAAACTTAGAGGTTTTCTGCCTGAAAACAATCTCTCAGTTCATTGATACGTTTTATCCTTTCTTACATAAAAAGCTTGGTGAAGGATTTTAAGGACTTCCCATTGACTGGAGGCTGGTAAACAAAGTTTGTCATCCTCAGGGCTGGGATACCCTTGAGAAATGGCTTATTTTATTTCTGCAGGGGAATACTGAGGTTTAAATTCTCTTATGGAGGCTTCTGAGATTAAAAGGGCTTGAAGTGTGTTAATGCCTTGAGGTTTCCTTGCCCTGGTTTAGCTCCCTGGTCAGCTAACCTATTTCCTTTGGCTACATCATCTGTTCCCTTTTGATGCTCCCTATAATGCATTACTGCTATTTTTCATGAAAGGAAAACTGAGGATAATAACCTGTTAATTTCCTGGTGATATTTTATAGGAGATCATTTAGTGGTAAGAGAATGTCTTTCCTTTTAAATAGCAGCATGAACACGGAGAACTAAGCAGCTATCTTTCCCTTGCTTAATTTAAGTGCTCTTGCAAGAGCTATTAGTTCAGTTAATTGAGTGCTTGTGTCTGGGACAGACATTATTTAGAGTGACTACTACTTATCCTGCCTTTATGTATTCTTGCTTTACCTGCTGTTTGTTAGCTAAAGGCTCCCCTAGAGGACAGTAATCCTGCTACATTATGTGGGGTGTAAACAGCTAAATTATTTCCTAAGGTTAATTTGGAGGTTTTTTTGACTGGTAGAGCCGTAGTGAAAATGGCTTGGAAGCATATGTAAACAATAGGTCCTCCTAACTGCGATTAGGAAGTTGAGAAAAATATTGAAATAGAGTTTTTCCTGAGACTCCTTACAATCATGCTATGGGAAGAAGAGCGGCCTGGATTAAAGAGGAGAAAAGAGAAAGAGGCTGGCTCTACTGTTTAGAAGGAGGTATGCTTTCCTTCCTTCAATTTCCAGAATCACCTGGCGGCTCCCGTGCTGCAATGGCAGTTTGAGCCACTGGAGCTGGGGTTTGAGCTCCGGGACCCATGAGTCCTGCTGGGCCATCTGTGAGACGGGTTCTGACCCCAGTGACCTCCGTCTCCGGGGGCAGTTTGATCTCCAGTGGTCTCCACCACAGGCTGGACAAGGTTGAGGTGGCTTCCTCTTGCTGTTTGGGCACTCCTTTTTAAAATGCCCTGGCTTCCCACACTGATAGCAACTAGCGGATGCACCTCGGGGATCCCGGACTTTGCAAGCCTGCAAAGCTGCTACTAGAGCCTCTGTGTTACTCCTGAGCTTTCTCGTTTTTGGGGCCTCCTCCTGGTCCCTATTATAAGTGACCACCCTCAGGAGGTTTTCCAAGGAGCTGTCTGGTCCTATAGCTTGCTTCTACAGTTTCCTTCTAATATCAAGAGCTGCCTGTGTAACAAACTCGTCCTTTAGAATGAGCCATCCCTTCACTGAATCAGGGGCTAAGGAAGTGTGCTGTATTGGTGCCTCTCTCAGCCTTTCCATAAAAGCTGCAGGATTCCCATCTGGCTTTTGGTCTATCATAGACAGTTGAGAGGAATTAAGAGGTCAGGCCTTAGTTCTTCATAGGCCCTCTAATATGCATATTTAAAAGCGCTTCCATTTCTATTCATTTGCAGAACTATTGGGGTCCCAATTGGGGTTGTCGAGAGGAATTGCTTCCCTTCCTATTGGGAGTGGTGTTTCTGCTATTTTTTTTCACTTTCCCTATCTCTTTTCTTCCCTTTTGGTGTATTATAGGAGACATGTTGCTCATCTCCAAAAGTATCTGCTGCCTGCAAATCTGCCTGCTTTTCAACTGCGGTTAGAGTTTGGTTTAGGAGCAGCATAACATCCTTCCATGTGAGGTAAAACACCTGAGTTAAATTCTAGAAAGCTTCTATATACCTATTGGGGTTGTCAGAAAATTGGCATAAGTCTTCCTTTGTTTGCCTAAGGTCCTGTAATGAAAAGGGAGCTTGAGGTTGAAGGGGACCAGCCCCTCCACACCTGTGGGTATTTCTGGTCAGGTGGGACAAGAGACTGAGAAAAGAAATAAGACACAGAGACAAAGTATAGAGAAAGAACAGTGGGCCCATGGGACCAGCGCTCAGCATACGGAGGACCCACGCCGGCACTTGTCTCTGAGTTCCCTCAGTATTTATTGATCACTATCTCTACCATCTCAGGAAGGGGGATGTGGCAGCACTATAGGGTAATGGTGGGGAGAGGGTCAGCAGGAAAACATGTAAGCAAAGGACTCTGTGTCATAAATAAG